GTAAGCAAATGGAGCACAATCAGCTAATCACAATCAGCAAAACCACTGGTGTGGTCCTTTAAAAGCGACACACTGAATGATACACACACACACACACACACAGCTTCATCCAAGTCAGTCAATGCTCCTAGTTGGTGGCCCGCTGCTGTCAGTCTCAACACACACACACACACACACACACACACACACACACGCACACAGTTGAAACAGCTGGCCGAGCCAAACCAGAATCAGTGGAGGCAACAAGTTCATTTGAAGACAGGTTTTTCTCTTTGAAGTGGCGTCACTCGGCCAGCAAGCAAACATTATTGTGAGCGGGGGAAGATTTACGACCTCTTGTCCCACAGCTGCTTTAACACTTTCTGCTGGTGGCTGCCCAGCAGGGAGCCTGATAAAGACTTGCATGAAACTGCCAAGGAAAACACCCCAACGTGCACTAGATGTGCAGAAACTGTACAAAGTAAAACTATTAGAATTTGATTTTCCATTTAAAGCGTAGCTTAGGTTTGAATATGAATGCAGGATTTGATTTGTTCATCTTGTTTTAAATCCTGGTCTCATCAGGTGGTGAAGCTTTAGATCACAGCCCGGGTCAACATCCAGTGAGGTGGCGCCTCTTAATGGCCATGGGCAGGTACTAGAAATGTGAAAAATCAGCCTTGAGTCGGCAGGGCCGCAGGACATTTTGACCAATCATCTACACTTTGCAGCCCTCTACAAAACTGTAGAGGGCTGCGTCCAACAATGTGTACTCTCCTTTAATTTGTTGATTGTTTTGTTGATTAATTTATCAATTGTTTGGTCTAAAGATTTTTTTTTTTAATTGCAGCCACAATTTGCAGGCCACAGGGTGTCCTGCAATGACTCGGGGCAATCATCGATTTACTTGACAACTATCAGCTGCAGCCCTTTAATCGATCATCAAAAGCGTTGATTTAGTTGTGTAGCAAATTGATTAATCGCCTTGTCTTTGCAGTTCTATTGTTTGCACGTACTGCATGCATCACGACCATATGATGCACGTTAATATCTATGGTCACAAAAACACTGCTCATCTCAGACTATGCATATCTGACAGCAAAACAGAATCTGGTCCTATCACACATCCACAGATTTAATATGTAATGGTAGACAGCCGGCGGATTAAAGCTCGCTGACCCTTCTCCCTCCCTGTCTTCCACCCCCCAAAGAAACTCTCCCTGCAGTCAGTGTAAGTCCTTACAACAACTCAGCTGCACTTAAAGAAAATTGTTTATGTTCGCCCTCAGGCTACCAGGTTAAAACTTTTGCATTTGTCTCCCATGGCTCTGACGTCTGTCTCGGCCCCCACGATGGTGGTGTGATATTCCTGCTGTGAACGAAACAAAGCACATTATAAACGTATTGCCTCGTGATTAAGGCTTATTTCTTTCTGTTCCCTATGGAATCTAGTCTTCCAGTCCATGGCCGACTTTTACAGACGTAAAATTGTGCAAGTAAGTCTTCAGTTATGAACTCATGAGGCAGATTGCAACATTGTGGACGTGAGGTCAGGAATCTACAGCGAATAACAGGGTGTGTTTAAGGACACCTGCCAGGAGGGAAATGTATCTTTATCTCGGTAACTGTCTCTTGCTCGAACCTTATTTATTGTTATAGAGATCAGAAAGACAGATACTCTCCATGAATTCCTGTTTTCTATTTCGATGAGAGGACTTTTTTCCACCACAGCTTCCCTCCTAAAAAGTTCTCTTTTCAGCTGTTACCTTGTGTTACCTTGAAACAATGGGGTCCTCCCTCCCCTTTTCACTTACATTACTAATTGTTTGGCTGTAAACGCTTGGAAACACCAAAAAGAAACCTTGTGATGGCATGGATAACGGCATCAGTTTAAAAACCTAATTCATACATAACCTACAACTAAAGGCGTTCATAGAAAAGGATTTGGGTATTTACCTAGAATTACCACATGTGAGCCTCTGCCAACGTCACCGTATCCTTCTATCCTATTGTGTGGAATTATCCACACAATAGGATGTTGTTTCCAAGTAATGTGTTTATACGGTCACAGTGACCTTTGACCAACAAATCAGTTCAACCTTTAGTCCAAGTGGACATTTGTGCCAAATATGAAGAAATTAGGTTGAGAGGAATCAGATTCACAAGAAGCGACCAGGCAGTCGTGGAGTAACTGTGACCTTTGACCTTTAACCACTTAAATCGATCTATCCTCGAGTCGAGGTGAAACTTTGGGCTAAATTTGAAGATATTCCCTCCAGGTGCTCCTAAGACGTTGGATCCAACAGAATGACAAACCAAAAACTGAATCCCCTGGCCCACAGACGTCCCCCCGATTCTGGTAAGTATACGGTAAGAAATAAGGTAAGAAATAAATATAACAAATGAAGGAGTGAGAGTTGCTACCAAAATGACAGATATCTGGATCCAACAATGTTTATCCTTCACACTTAGTAAGTAGTATACTTAAATAGTAATATACAGGTATGTCTAGCTGCACCTGTTTAAATCCACTGCCACACGGCATACGCCCTCCTCTTGGCCATAGGTTACAGATTTCACAAAAGTTTGAACATGTTTAAGTTTACTATAAACAGATAGACTTTAATCATGTAGCACCTGATATACTACAACCACTGTTTAGTCTGTTTAGTCTATAAGACAATCTGAATATAGAGTAAACAGCTTCACAGAAGACGATGCCTTTAAACAATCTATAAGCCAAAGATATTTAGTTTACTATGTGTGGTCATTTTCCAGTAGTCTCTTACCTGTGATTTGAGCCCACCAGCAGACTGCTGTCAGCGTGTTGCAATTAGCAGTGCAGCTAGCCAACTAGCCAGCTGCTAAACAAATCTACCCACATAATGCACTGCTGTCACAGAGTAGGAAAATACATTGTTATTGTCATGATAAAAGACATCACTGTTGTGAAACCAATGTTGCATGAAAGCGTGGTGGAATTAGTAAACTGGCCAAAAAGCCAGCAAGTGGCTAGTTCCACCACGCTTTTCTTCATTTTAGTTTGGCCTATTTTTTCAGTCGGAAGGCGTGGCGGCATTTTCTCCATCATTTAAAGGTTTTGCCAATGTTAAAGCTTGCTAAATTTTAAAATTAGTTTATCAACTCAAATGTAGGGAATATTTTTGAGGAGTGACTCGAGCCCACTACTCTGATTTGGGTTCATTTGCTTTGTTTAGATACAGCCCACCTGCCATCTATGACCAGCGGTTTGAGGCGTACGGCAAACAAACCTCCTGCCAACATTCACTGCCTGCCTGTCTCTCCACATTCAATAAGTACTTCGTACCCAAAGTCTACACGGATCTGACATCTTGTGAAAATTAGAGCTCAGATTTGAAAAACATGCATAACTTCTTTCACAGAAAACGCAAACAAACAAACCCAAAGAAAAACTGGGGTCTCCAAATTGCTACGTTAGTAACCATGAAATTACAAGGCAGCATTATGGTTTTATACAGCTATAAAAACATAATTATGCCCTGCGGCTTTATGAATACTGCGGTCTTCAAAAGGAGCTCCCTTAGTAAAGCTAAATACCTTTCTGTTAATTTGTTCCCCTTTTCCCTTTCTTTTGCTTTGACCGCTGTGGTGAGATAAACGTTTATAAATCACGGGGTAAGCGACTGAGATGTCTGCGAGCACAGCAGAAAACCATGATGGATTCCGCAGATGTGTTTTCTTGAGCTCAGGGGTTTCATCGCAAATCCATTTAAGCTCTTATGTAATTTAGTTAAATATACAGAATCCTTTTTATCTTTTTATGTGTCCATTTTCTACCCACTAGCCTTGATGGAAAGTATGATGTTGGCGGGGGGTGGGGGGGTTCCCATTGAAACTGACCTCTTATAAAACACTGCAGTGTGTGTGTGTGTGTGTGTGTGTGTGTGTGTACATAAGTGGGAGAATGAAGGTGTTGTTGAGTGACATACAAACCATCAGGCAAAAGGTTGCACACTCTACGTGCGGTAGTGCTGTAATGCGAGGATCCCCGTGCCTGCGCCCACCTGTTCCAAATCAGCAATCAACACACCTGCTCCTGATCAGCTTCTACAAGGCTACTTAAGCCGAGAGCTGACATCCAGTCCCTGCCAGATCGTTAGCCACATTTCTACGTTCACCCTGGATTTCCCTTCGCTCCTGCCTTGCAACCGGCACCTTCCACCACATCGCTTCGTCAAGCCTCCATCACCTGTACTCACCTGTCTACATGTCTGGAATACCATCTCAGTAACATCTGTGTGTTCAATAATTACTCACCGTTGTCACCACCAACGTTGCTTAATATGCGTTTGGGTTCAAACCCAAGAGACCTTTAGCTCAGACAGCGCCTCAAACTCAAGGCCTGAACCCCCCCCGCAGCAGGAGCTCACCCTTCTGCCAACTCCTTGACGCTCTTTTACCAATAAGACTGAAGTGATATAGAAAAAAAAGGATGTCTTATGTAATCTCTTAATGTCAGTATATATCTATATATAGATGTATATCTTTATATATATATATATATATAGATGTTTATATATATATATCTCCACATCTATATCTATATATATATATATGGATATATCTATATATATATATGGATATATCTATATATCTATATATGGATATATCTATATATCTATATATATATATATATATCTATATATATCTATATATATGGATATATATATGGATATATATATATATATATGGATATATATATATATGGATATATATATATATATATGGATATATATATATATATATATATGGATATATATATATATATATATATATGGATATATATATATATGGATATATATATATATATATGGATATATATATATATATATGGATATATATATATATATATATATATATATATATGGATATATATATATATATATATATATATATAAAAGATAGTACGCTGTCTTTACAACCCACATTGGTTGTACTAATAAATATACACACATCTTGAGAAACTTCACTCAGACCTGTAGTGTTTCAACGATTGAATTTAATGAATAATGGAGAACTTTGTATACATGGCATTGTGTTGAAAAACACTCTTTTCAGGTAAAAGATTCAACTTGAAGGTCTTATTGTGTCTGTTCAAACATCTGCATGTGTAGCCCAGGACATGTTGGACAGAGTCTTCAGAGTGACTCATGCCTGCTGTCTAGTGTTTGGAGGAGGGACACATGGGATCATCCGGTGTTTGATACACTGTCTATACCCAGAGTGTCGATTCTGCTCCATTAACTGCCATCCCAGAACAATTACCAGGGAGAGAATTGTGGATAACCAACATGTCAAACATTCTGAACAAAAATGGAAAAGAAGTAAGCACTCATAAGTTTAACCACGTGACTCCTTAATAACCGTGTTACGCATTTGTTTCTCATCTCATAAATCGGTGCCCTTACTGGCTTACGTGTAATGGAGTTGTTTCTTCTTTTCTATGTCTACTATTTTAAATCATTATGGTTCTGTTATACAGTGCCTCGTAGGGGTATTCACTCCCCCTGGACTTTTGTCATTTTGACACATTTTGTCATGGTAAAGCCATACATTCAAATGCATTTTCATTGGGATTAAAATGGACACACAAAATAGTCCATCATTTAGTAGTGCAATATTACATTGATTTACGAATGAAAATCTGAAAACTTGATTACATATGTATTTGCCAATAAAGCTGATTCTGATTCCCACTATTCAGACTTAGTAGATGCCCCAAACTGAAGCCTTCTTAAGTTACCTACAGTAACATACAGTCTTCATTTTGAGGATATTAAAGAAAAAAATGTATTTAGTAGCAGCTGCCAGGGATGAGACACAGAGACAGACTAATCAAAAAACCCTCAGTCTAGGACGACGACTAAAATAATCTACATTTTATTTAAAAAAGGTGCTCCATCTACAAGTTCAATTCTAATTCGGTAGAAATATGATACAACTCAAACTGGCATGAGCAACTTCCATCAGAACAGGGTTTCCACTACCATTAGACCCCATTCCCCTCCCTAAAAAAGTCTAATTATAAATATATAAAAGAAATGTATAAATGTTGCACAAATATGAAAGGTTGGTGGTTTGAGCCCCGGCTGCCCCATGTCAAAGTGTCCCTGAGCAAGACACCTAAACCTTACTTGCTCCCCGGGCCAAAAATGTAAAAAGCCATGGGTTAAAAATGCAAAAAGCACGTGCGGTTTCAGGCAGAGGAACTTTGCGCGTCACTCGTGTGCACCTTCTTGTGTTTGTTGAGTTTGTTCCAGGTGGAGAACCGCTCCCGACAAGTCGTGCATTCGTACGGCTTCTCCCCCGTGTGTATCCTCATGTGGCCCTTGAGGTCCGACCTGTGGCCGAACGCTTTGTCGCACACGCTGCACGGGTACGGCCGCTCCCCCGTGTGCGTCCTGATGTGCCTCCTCAGGGTCGTGTGGGCGGCGAAGCGCTTCTTGCACACGTTGCACTTGAAGGGTTTCTCCCCCGTGTGAACCCGCCGGTGATTCTTGAAGGCCGACGAGTCGGCAAACTCCTTCCCGCAGTCGACGCAGGTGTAGGGCTTCTCCCCCGTGTGAATCCTCGCGTGCTTCTTCATGTTCGCGCACGAGCTGAAGGTCTTGTCGCAGGTGTCGCACCTGAAGGGCTTTTCCCCCGTGTGCACCCGAAGGTGCAGCTCCAGGTTGTACTGCCGGTTGAACCCGTGCCCGCACTCCTTGCACTCGAAAGGCTTCACGGCGGCGTGAACCAGCATGTGTTTGTTCAAGTCCCAGCTCTCCCTGAACATTTTCCCACAGGTGTCGCACTTGAAAGTCTTCTCCACGGTGTGGGACTTCATGTGGAACTTGTAGTTTTTGAAATTCGTCATCACTTTGCCGCACCTGTCACACTTGTAGGGGTTGTCATCGTGTTCGATGGCGTCCGTCCTGTTGGCCGTTGGGTTGGTGCTTACACTTGATGGTGTGCTCTCACCCTTACGTTTCTCCCTTTGGGCTTGCCTTGAACTTCTGGTTGACGCTGTAGCTGCAGTGGTTGACGTTTTCCTTTCATCTGTGTGCGTCTTACTTGTCGTTGGGTCCGTACCTCCTTTGGACGTTGCGCTCCCACTCTTTCGCCTCTTATTCGGGGTTGAGTCGCTAGTGGTGGATGCCGGGGGCCCATCGTTGTGCTTCTTATTCGCCGTTGCCTGTGTACTTGTGGTCAACGTTACTTTCTCATTGTCGTGTTTCCGTTTTGCTGTTGGGGTAATATTTTTAGCTGACGTGCTCTCGCTGTTACAAGTTATATTTACGGTTGGCTCAATACCTCCAGTAGAGGTTGGATTCACGCCTTTGGATTTTTCATATGGTGCTGGTTTAGTTCTTCCACGTGTCATCGTACCATCATTGGGTTCACTATTTGAAGTTGGATCAGTTCTTCCACTTGATGTTGTTTTCTCATTGTTACATCTCTTACTTTTTGTTGGCTCATTATTTCTGCATTCATCCTCTGGAGTTAGCTTGGTGCCCCGGGCTGATGTTGTGGTATTATCGTGGGATTTCTCAGTCGACGTTACCTCAGTTCTTCTGGTTGACGTTCGCTTTCCATTGCTACATGTCTTACTTAGTATTGACTCGACACTTCCAGTTGTGGTCTGTACCACACCGTGGCTTTTGTTATTTGTTGTTGGTGCATCCTTTCCTTTTGATGCTGCGTCATCATCATCATTATATTTCTCGTTCGGTGTCGGCTTGGTGCCTCTAGCTGATGTTGCGGTCTTATCGCTAAATGTCTGCGTAGATGCTGTGCGCTCACCATTATGCGTCTTACTAGCCGTTAGCACAGTCCCTCTGGTTGATGGCATCTTCCTGTTGCTAGGATTCCCTTTTGGCGTGGTCTCAGCATCCGTGTTCGATGTTACGTTCTCCTCTTTGCGTGTCTTGCATGGTGTTTGAGAACTTGCAGTTGATGTCGCCTTGTCATTGTTAGAGTTCCTATTTGGTGTTGGCTCAAAATGTCCTGTTGAGGGCGGCCTCACATTTGGGATTCTCTTACTTGGTGTCGGCTTACTGTTTCCTGTTGGTGTCGCATTTGACTTTGTGTTATCGTAGTCCTCTTTCCTGTGTTTCGGTCGCTCAGAACTAGTCCGTAGTGTTTGTACAACATCCGTTTTCTTATTGGATGTCGGCTCAGTGGGTTCACTAATCGGCGATTTTACGTTCTCATCTCCACTCTTGCGTGGGGTTAATTCAACGCCTGTGATTGGCCTTGTGTTTTCGTCACGTTTCTTATTTAGCGTTTGCTCAGTATTTCCACTGGCTCCTGGGTTGCCATTGTTACCGTTTTTATTTGGTGAAGGGTTGGCACATCTAGCTGATGCCATGTTCTTGCTTTTCTCAAGAGATGTTTCTGCAGTACCCATGGCTGATGTTGTGTTGTCGTCGTTGCTTTTCTTAAGAGTTGTTTCCTCTGTACTTGTAGCCGATGTTGTGTTGTTGTCATTGGTTATCTTATCGGTTATTTGCTCAGTACCTGCAGCAGGTGTTGTGTTCTCATTGTTGCTTTTCTTAAGAGTTGTTTCTTCAGTACTTGTAGCTGATGTTTCATTCTTGTCATCGGTGGTTTGCTCAGTACTTGTAGCTGATGTCTTGTTCTTGCTTTGCTCAAGAGATGTTTCCTCAGTACCCACAGCTGATGTTGTGTTTTCGTCGTTGCTTTTCCTAAGAGATGTTTGCTGGGTACTTGGAGCTGATGTCTTGTTCTTTTTGTTGCTTTTCTTAAGAGATGTTTCTTCTGTACCTATAGCTGACGTGGTGCTCTGATTGTTGCTTTTAGGAGTTTGCGCTGACTCACTATGTCTATTTTCCGTTGCATTTCCGTGGGTAAAAGTTATGTGATCTTGTGAGTTGTCAGAGAGGAGCTGGTGGCCAGTGCTCTGTGCTAATGCTGCAGAACACTCCTTGTCAGATGGAGATGATATTTCTTTATTTGACGTGCTGAGATGCTGATCTTTATTCGCTGCACTTTGAGTTTGTTCAGGGTCCAAAGGCTGCGCCTGGACACTTTGCTCACAAGTTGAACTCAACTTGGAGGCTTCAGTCTCCCGTTGCTGTGCAAGCTGCGGTCGTCCCTGACCAATGCACATGTCCTCATGCTCCTCTTTAATCGGCGGAGGGTCTGTTGGGGCCAAACTGGTATTAGCATACTGGTCCAAGTGCTGCTGCTGAATCAGGAGAGCCTCCTCCTCCCCTCCACATATCTGTAGCAGCTCTGAAAGTAAAGAAAAATAAATTATGACATGTTGGAAAGCCTATGCATTATACAGTTATGATTAAAAGGCTTTTACACAGCGAGTGACAAACAATACATAAACGCTCTCCATTAATTACTATTTAATACCATTTAAGTGTAGGAACAGAAGCTGTGGATCTGGCATGCACCGCTACCTTGAAATATATATATATATATATATATCTCCACATACATAGATTCTTTAGGGTAATGCTAGCTTTCGCTGCCGATTTAGTGCACCTTTTAGCCAAAGACGACAACTCAGGTTGATTTCATGAGCAACGTGAATGAATGAGATGGTGCAAGATCTTGCAAGGAGGCCTGGCATGTTTTCAGACTACGCACAAATTAATGTCGGTTTTCTAGGTAATCATCTACCGAATACTGGTGCTGGGAAAACAAACGCAACGTCGCTGTTTGTCTGTTGCATAGCAACAGACACACTACGGGGACTATTTTTTGTAGGCTACTGATGTGCGATGCACAACGTGTGGTTGTGTATTTACTTAACGTTGCTATTCATAATGTCGCAGGGAACCGTATTATAAAAGCAACACAGGTACTAGAGGCCATACTTTATCATCAATAACGTTACAGTTTAAGGGCTTTGCGGTGTTACAGCACAGTTTTTAAACCTACTGGTTTCTCTGCGCCTGCGTGTTTGTTTACTTAACAGCAGCAGCTGTTGTTGTTGTCTCGTTTGTCGCCTGATTCGACCCGTGTGAAACAAAATATCAAAGCGTCAAACTGACAAAAACAGTTATTAACAGTTGTTAAATTATACGAGTGGGGAGGAAACCTTCTGGTTTCAGGCAGATCTGAACCAACTGGTTTCCTTGGGCGTGTCGTAGAACACAAGCAAACCTTTTCTCGGGGGCGCAGCGTTGCTGGTTTAAAAACCAGTTGGGGTGTAACACCGATACAACAACAGCCTGGAACTACATTATTGAAGATGCTTAATTAAACGGTTCTCCTGTGGACTACGTCGTATGAATTAGCGAGTAATCACTTAAGAAAGTGATTTAATGTTTCATTGTATTTTTTGTAAACACAAAACTACACACATTTGATCAACTTCGGGTCAGCGAGCTGCCGTCGCCCCAATACGAGCTAGCTGCTAACGCGCCGCCACGTACGTATCGTGCCATTAATCCCCCTCGAAACCAAATGACCCGTCACGCCATGACGATGGCACCGAAACATAAAGTGAAGAACTGGGTTCAATAGAAAGTGTTTCACCCAACCTGTCCGGTGCAACTTTATCTCTGGTGTCAAAACGGCGTTCAGGAGTCTGCGTTGACGAGCGATTTCTGCCTCGTAGTTTTCGATTTTCCTTTCGAAGGCTCCCAGAATCTCTTGAGCTGCTGCGGTCATTCTATCGCACACGAACCGTCTCATACTTTGGACCGTAGACATCGTGGAGTTCTTCTTCACACTAGTTGAGTCTAACGTTAACAGAACGTGCGTTCTTTTTTAGTTTTCTTCCGCTTGAGCCCTCCCCCGGATGTTGTAAACAAGCTCTTCTTCGGTGGTGCAGACAATGAGTGCACATCGCCCTTTCCTGCCCCGCTCTGGTGGGAAATGTCTCTACAGCCTAGTCGGCTCCGGAAAGCCTAAATTCTACATCTAAAATGATGTCAATGTTGGGGACGGCTACTTCCCAACAGAAATAACCCTGTAACTTTAAATACACCATAATAACGTGTTCTTAGTAAATATCCATGTCTGAATTGTTATTGTTTTACTTTTGTTGTTATTGTTTTTCTTGTTGGGGGACAGCACTTTGAACCAATACAATTATAAAATAATGGAGGATATTCAAAGCAGAAACCGAGAAAGAAGAGTCCTTAAAAATACTGTCTGTTTGGCGGTTAGGATGAGTTCTGCATCAGCAGCTGTCGCTACTTTCTCTGCACAGACCGCTTGTTTTTGAGCGCTTGTTAGTTGCTGCCCACTAGAAGGCGGTCCAACAGCTTTTTATTAAACAACATATTGCAACATTGTGTTGCAAGATTAGGTAATAAAACACTATGTGGATGAAAAGAAAAAACAATCAATATCATAATTGGTAAACTAAGAAATACAACAAATAGCAAGCATTGAGTAAAATCAACCAACAAAGCAGAACTGAACAGCTACAGTGATTTGTGGTTTGAAGGTTAAAGCAGAATCAAATAGTAAGTTTATTTCAGTGGGACTGACTGGGTTTGGGGGGTGCAATAATAGTATTTATGATTTCGAGTTATTCACTTGAAAAAAATGTCCCATCCAACAATTGGTATCATTAAGACACTCAAAAATAGCAGCTGCCTTTTGGCTCTTTGTGGTTGTTTTAGTCTTATGCTTACACTTATGTTACCCGCAGGCTACATCTTATGAGAAATGGATACTATTTGTTATCATAATCTTGCCCAAACCCACATGTTGTGTGATGTGATGGCTTTGTTGGCTGCTGAAACTGACATGTCTCACTTGTCTGATCAAGGCACAGCTTCCTTTCCTCTGCGCATGCGCCAAACTGCATATCCGGGTACGACATGCAATATAAATGCGCTAGTCTCCTACTCGACTGTCGATAGATTAAACAAAACCAATGATTCCCATATGTCCAGTAGTTTCCTTCACCTATGGTAAGTATCCTCCACATTTTGGATATTAGCGTAGCTGAACACATCTGGATAGCTTCATAAATGTAGAAGCAATATTATGAATGGATTAACGTTAGTCCTCGGAGCGCTCGAGCTTGCTGCTAACGGTTAGCTTAGCGTCACCCTGTGTGTCTGTCCTCCGCAGTGCCCAGCCGGCTCGGTGAAGATGCCAAAATGGCTACCGGCAATTACTTTGGATTTGCCCACGGGGCTGCCGCCCAGTACAGGTAAGAAGGACCTTAACACACCGCCATTTCGTTGGGGAAATGCCGTTTCCTGGCTCTAAAGTTCCCTGAGTTGGAAGGTTGTGCGCACACGTACAAGCTGTATGGTTCCCGTCGCTGCCATTGTTCGCGCTGGGGGAGGGGGCGGTTATCGCCGCCGCCGCCGCCGCAGTTGGAGGCGGGCGGGCTTCACACTGTCCCTCGCTCCGCGTTAGAAACGCAACAGGGCCTCTCCGACGCCCTTTGCGGAGAGAACGTACCACGCAGCCCCAGTAACACACCCACGAGTGGGCCGCATGATCAGACGCCAAAACGCAACGAACTGAATCAGTGCGCCTGTCAGTCATGTCAAACCGCTGAGTGGAGCATGAATGTGATCCAACATCTGGAATGTGCACACTGACACATCTGGCGAGTGTTGCTGGGTTTCATCACGGCGAGTCAGCAAGTGAAACCTTTTTAATTGAATAATCAGACTGAATCGGTGCTTGCAGTTGTGAACACTAGCTTTACATTGTTGGTAAACAAACAGAGTCCATTGCCTGTGCAATCTGAAGGGTAATGGGGGAATATGTAGTACGGTACGGAAGAAGTGGTTCGTATTGACATGTTTTTAAACAGTACTATATATCCTTTCATGGTGTAGATGTTAATGGTGTTTTTATAGCTTTCACAAAGCAGGATTTGGGGTTTCAGTTCCACTGGTTATGTTGGAAATTGTAGAAAAGCACAGCTGTTGATCAGGCAGCTACGTTCAAAGCTTTCAGATCAAAGCTTGGTGTAAATTAACCGATTTGTAATACTATTGTCATCTACCGCAGGAAAATACTGGACTGTAATGACCTGTACCTAATTACGTTGATGCAGAACTGTTTTGATGGACTTTTTTTTCCCGTTCAAACACTCCAGTGTTACATGAACTAAATTGGCCTTTTCACCTCTGTACTTCTTTAGGTAATGCAGTTAATCTTCGAGATGCCTGCCTTATTGCATGGCGGGGGAAACGCTGGCGTTGATGCTGTACTGTTGCGTGGACATTCATGCATCCTACTCTCACTGCTGTAAAAAGTTAGACTACTGTATACAAATGAACTTTGTAATAAAATGAACATGGCTTCAGTTCACCAAGGAATCAATGTGCGAGTTGATGGGGGGAAAAAAACATTCTAAAACAACACCACGGTTTATGTTTACATTTCCGGCAGACAATGTTCCCAACTAGATAGAAGCCAAAGTCCAGCTGAGCTAGACGGGCATAGTCTGGTTCTCAACTACATTCAACTTCGCTGTTGTATGCTTTTGCAAAAAAAAAGGGTAAATTTCCCAAATTCCCCAGCTTAACTTCCCATGGAAAGTTTCTGGAATTTTTCTGCCCCTTAGATTTCCCATAGACTTTGAGATGCCTGTGAATCCGTTGATTCACTGGCACCTTCTCCAGGCCCATCTTTCTCAGACACACGGATACACACACAGAGAGCCCTCGTCTCTGTAATTGTCACCATTCTTGGGTGCAAAAGACTAAAATCATTGGGGGGGGTACACATGTTATCATTTCCAATATTCATAGTCTATTTACAATATTTGGCTTCAATTGCTTATTCACTGATTTTGATTTTTTTTTTAAACGTAATTTTACTCACAAAGTAAAATGTGAGTAACTTCAACAAAGCTCCGACCGGCCCTCTAACCTGCGACGTTTCTGTTTTGCGTTGCCCTGCCAGTCAGCAGCCAGGTGCCGGGGTAGCCTACACGCACCCCACCACGGTGGCCAGCTACACTGTTCACCAAGCACCTGTGGCGGCACACACCGTGGCGGCAGCCTACGCTCCCACTGCAGGCACCGTTGCAGTTCGGCCGGCGCCCGTCTCAGTAGCAGCCGCTACTGCCGCGGCTTATGGGGGATACCAGCCGGCACATGCCGCAGCTGACTACGGCTACCCCCAGCGCCCGCAGGAAGTCCCTCCACCACCGCCACCCGTCACCTCACAAAACTACCAGGTACGCCAAATGTTTCTCCCTTTCAAGACTCAAAGGGACCATGAAACTGTTTACTCTGGATTTGCATGTTTATTTGTGATGACACCAGTTCTGCCGATGTGATAAACCGTAAGTGTCAGTCTGAATCATTTAACTTGAATGAATTAAATTGCATTTAATTGACATTAAGGAACATTAGGAAATTAAGAAACATAAATGCTGAACCTATACATAAGTAGATTAAGGAAAAATTGCCATCCTTTAAAAATAGTTAAATATGAGATTTTAAGTTATTAAAGTCTGAAACAAAATTATAATTAACTTAAGTCAGTTAGTATTTTAGTAGTTGGCATTTTCCTTTTTTATTACGTTTTTCTGTGAACCTCTTGGCTGGTAAATTAATGGAAGTAACATTTGTCTTTAGAATCAAAACTTAAGATAGTGAAGGCACAATGACAAGGAAGTCCAAAATATAAACCACTCATTTTATTTTGACTTAAGATGTCATTTTCCAAATTTGTCAACCCGAGCAACCGGAAATATCAAATGGCATTTTAAATTGTTTCCACAAACCGTATGACTAAGTGTATTTAGAAGATAGTTTGCTATGATTGATCAATAGATCCATACAGCTTTAATAGAATGCAGATCAGTCTTAATCCCCCCCCCCCCCCCCCCTCCAGAAGCGATGAGGCATGTTTTTTAGGTAAAGTGTCTGTCCCCAACAATTAAAGTGTGATATCAATTAGAAAATAGTCTAATAATAATCTTCAGTAAACGTAGTTACAATTGTAAACTGATAAATTACGGGCATGTCTTAAACGTTTCATACAACAGAGCTTTTACTTTGACAGGCCATGCGCTAAAATGGGGGCTTTTCACTGGATACTCGGTAGTATTTTTTTTCAAGTGCAGAGCCCCCAAATGTCATGTAAGTGTTACAGGAAGGAGCAAAAGGAGATGCAGTGGGACTCAAAATTTACTTTATTGGGTAATTGCATCTATTGTTCTATACATGGCACCACAGTGAGGGATGACCCAGACTCAAAAGTTCAGTGATAAATCTACGGCAGGAATTGAAGCGCCAACCCTGACCCTCTCTTCCCTTGCAGGACACCTACTCCTATGTCCGGTCCACAGCTCCTGCTGTGGCTTATGACAGTAAGCAGTACTACCAACAGGCCACTGCTACAGCAGCAGTCGCTGCTGCACAGCCGCAACCCAGCGTGGCAGATTCCTACTACCAGACGGGTATGCTGAACTCAATTCATTTCAAAATTCAGCGGGTCAAATTTATTCGGGGTTGTCCACGAAGGGGCTAACCTGATTAGCTTGGTCAAGGGAGCACAATTGGCCCGCAGCCTTAATTGATGAGGTGGAACTCTGGAGAAACTAGACTTGATGTTCTGTGTGTGTCAAGACATTGATTATCATTGTATCACCGATGATCACAGGACTTAATTCAACAGTACTTTAGGATTTTGGTGTATAATCACAAATTATTTTGAGAGCGACGTGTGTTTTCCGTTCTGTCTTCCAGCCCCTAAACCAGGATATAGCCAGGGTGTTACCTCGTACACCCAGAGCCAGCAGAGTCGACAGGTCACCGTGATAAAGCCAGCCGCTCCCAGTCAAGCCTCATCCACTTTCTCCATCTACCCAGTGACTTCTGCTGTCCAGCCTGTGGCCGCCGCCGCGTCCGTGGTCCCCTCTTACTCCCAAAGCCCGACCTACAGCACCAATGCTGTCACTTACTCTGGTAAGTTGCTATTAATTCACTTTTTACACAAGGCGTCCCTGGACTCTGTAGTACTTGAGATGAATGCTAACATGCTCAAAGTGACAATGCTAACAAACACCTTTGCATGCTTACATTTAGTAACACTAAACAGTATACCCAATATCCAGTTGTGAAACTTGTGTTATGAAACCTGGTGTTTTTTAATAAAATGAAAGGATTTAACTCCTTGTTAAAGTTCTTAATATCCGTAGCGATGGCCGCCTCAGTTGGTCCTCAAAATGGACACACAATGTTGGCCTGTTATGAGAATATTTTTATCATTGACCCTGTTCAAAATGCTGTGAAATGACTGTGTGGTGCCTCGGTTTATCTCTTTCCAGGAACATCATACTCTGGCTATGAGGCAGCCGTTTACTCTGCAGCCTCCAGCTACTACCACCAGCAGCAGCAGCAACAACAACAGCAGCAGCAACAGCAGCAACAACAACAACAACAACAGCAGCAGCAGCAGCAGCAGCAACAACAACAGCAGCAGCAACAGAAGCAGGCAGTGGCAGCTGTAGCAGCGGCGTGGACGGGGAACACGTTCACCAAGAAACCTCCCTTTCAGAGCAAGCAGCTTCGTCCCAAGCAGCAGCAGCCTAAACCCCCTCAGATCCACTACTGCGACGTCTGTAAGATCAGCTGTGCCGGCCCCCAGGTGACCCCCCCCTCCCCTCCGTCCTTGTTGACATCTAACTTGAAGTGATGGAATGCTTTTGAAGTTTGATATGAATTGTGCCATCGGCATGTCCACAAAGACCAACTTTAAGGGTTTCTGGTTTAAAAACCTTCACCATGTTATTTGTGTCCAAACAAGTTATTGACGACCTGTGTGACCAATGGCTCTCGTCTTTCCCCAAACATTGAATGCGTTAGACTTACAAGGAGCACCTTGAAGGCCAGAAGCACAAGAAGAAGGAGGCGGCACTGAAGGTTTCCCAGAGCACCAACAGCAGCGGCGGTAGTGGCGGAGGGTCGATGTCCCGCAATGCTCAAAACCAGCTCCGCTGTGAGCTCTGCGACGTTTCCTGCACTGGCGCCGATGCCTACGCCGCCCATATCCGCGGAGCCAAACACCAGAAGGTGAGGATGACAAACATGAATCCGTGTCCATGATGCCAAAGGTGGTACTGGTTCTAGTGGGAGGCTCCATCCTCTTTGCGTTAAAGATTAAAGAGAACATTCTAAAGAGAACATCTAATACACTGCATCTCAAATTGATTGTTATTCTTTTACCCCCTTGAAGAGTGTTTGTTGTGGGTCATTCATTCTCGTTATAACAATGACTCAATCTCAACACACGTGAGACAAGTAGGTCGGAGCGTTGCGAGCTCCTCGATGACGTGTAAAAACAAATTCTGCCGCCGTAAATCTTTATTTTTTTTATTATTATTTATTCCAACTCTCTTCGCCAGGTTGTGAAGCTTCACACCAAGCTCGGTAAGCCCATTCCCTCGACCGAGCCCAGCATGGTCACTCAAACATCGTCCATTACCACAGCTGCTCCCAGCAAGACCACCACAGCGACCCTGAGCAGCACCGGCGGCTCTCCGTGTGCGGCCTCCTCCAGCTCTGCATACCTGAAACCAGTCAACACGGTCAGCAGTGCTATGGCAGGCGTGAAGAACCCGTCGGCCAACAGCCTCTCTGTTGCCAACTCTGCCTCCGCCGGGAAGAAAGTCACCGCCCCCAAGATCAATTTTGTTGGTGAGTAAGCTCACGTTGAGGATTCAGCACCTGGTTCTGCGATGAACTCTGAAATTGGTTAACCAAGGATTTTGCAAAAGCTATTTTATAAAAGCAAAAGTGATTGTTCAATACAGACAAATCTAATTCTGATTACTTGGCATTCATACAGCTGCAAACATCCATTTTCTGGTTAAAAAAGATTTATGCCTACTCTGCGCTGCCGGTGTTTGTGCTTTTCATGAGGCTTTTTGAGGGCAAACCTTCATTAATAAATATATTCTGAATTTGGGAGCTTTTTATGTGTAATATGAACCTAATCCGCCATCTTGAACCTTTTCTTTGCTGTGCAGTACTTTTGCTCAGTTACACTAGTGTACTGTAGTGTTCTTTTTCTCTTACACCGAAGTCGAACTTCAGCTCTTCCTGATGTTGTTCGCCATGTTACACCAAGCAGACATGTCCAGGGTTGGGCTTAATTTGTTGATTTTGTAACACAGTCAGAAGTACAAATGTTCTTTGGTCATATGTAGAAAGAGACACCTCTGCAATGTTACCTGCTACTTTTATTATGTTGGAACGAGATGAATGTGCTGAATCTTTTTGCATGCATTAAAACCAAGTGATCTAGCAATCATGATGACCATTATGACGACTACAGAGAGAAATATTCCTCCTCACGATCAACCTTTTTTGCACTGTGTTTTGATTTGGATTGGTGTTTAGCAGTAGCGCTGTTCATGTTCTATTATTAAACAACATTGTAATTTCTTGAATGCAGGTGGAAATAAATTGCAGACCACAGTGAAGATGGATGAGGCCAAAGTGGAAGCTTCTAAGCCTGCGACGCCCTCCTCGGGTACACAGGACCCCAAGGGCGACGTTTCAGATTCTCTGTCCACATCAGCCTTGGCTGCACTGCAGAGCGACGTCCAGCCGGTCGGTCACGACTACGTCGAGGAGGTGCGTTTGGACGGGCTGATACATACACTTACGCATACGCTGAGCAGCAATGCATTTAAATCTTTAACGTGCAACTTCCTTCCCAGGTCCGAAACGACGAAGGCAAAGTCATCCGCTTCCATTGCAAGCTGTGTGAATGTAGCTTCAACGATCCAAATGCAAAGGAAATGCATCTGAAAGGTCGACGGCATCGACTGCAGTACAAGGTTTGTAAGCTGCCGTATTACATCGCTACACAGGACACACAGTGGTGTGTTCGTCAGGCGTCTCGGAGCAGGGAAATGGGGGAGTTCTTTATGGTTATGTCTTTTATTTATCTTGGTGCTCTACTCTGAGGTCGGCGTCCTCAAATCTCATGCAACACGAAGGGTGCACTGATTTCTTTCTTTCTGACCGGGCTTCAAGTACTTTTCTTGCAGAGTACATTCATGAGTAAATGATACCATTTCAGTTCCTCAATAACTTCATCGCCGTTGTTTGCAGTAAGGATGTTCATAATTAACTGAAAAATGCTGAAAATACAGAAATGGGAACTATACATAACACCTGCTGTAAAGAAAGGGTCCAGGGGGGAAAAGGCATACAAAACATGAGTTCAAAACCTTTGGGGCCCCCTTAAAATCTGAAGATATGTCATATGGAGACAGATTGACAGAGTGGAGAGGAAGCAATGGCTTGACTTACTACCCTAAGTCATCTGTTTATGTCTGCATGAGTCAGTGCCAGTAAGGCTAGCTGGCTGGCCAAAGACATGACAGATTTTTATGTATAGTTGGAAAATCAAGACGAGCGGAATGAGGATTTGAAGAATAGTTGCGGCTGAAGCATTCCAACTAAAACGGCAAAACCTGAAGTGGCTTGTCACATGAAGGAGAATAGTGCTCGTCCACTTTAAAAGTCAGCTCATTTACGTGTGCCGTGTTTATTGCTGACTACGGGGCTAACCTCCCCCAGCCTGAATCCACTAGATGACACTGCACCGTACCTCTCAGCTTAACTGGTTCTCTCACCGATAAATAACCTGTACACGCACTGTAGTGCTTCATTCACAGCTGCACCTTTTTTCATGGCTGACTTCAGTCAGATACTCGGCTGGCAACCTCACAGATAAACGCAATGAGTATTGGCGAATCTCCAATCCAATTTGTTAGTTTGTTGTTTTTGTATTAATAATTATACTTGTATTATCTGGCAGCAATTGTTCTTAATTTCCAAATAGAATATTTATTTTTTTACATTAAGACCATAAATATATATTTTTTTCTTCTACAGAAAAAGGTCAACCCAGATCTGCAGGTGGAGGTCAAGCCCAGCATCCGAGCCCGGAAGATTCAGGAAGAGAAGATGAGAAAGCAGATGCAGAAAGAAGAGTACTGGAGGAGAAGAGAGGAGGAGGAGCGCTGGAGAATGGAGATGCGGTACGGTTCTTGAGGAAAGCTGCAGTAGTTCATGATGTAGCCTCACCACCTCGGGCTGTTGAACAATAGAATGAGAGTGTATGCCAGTCCAGTGTTTCCCACGGATCCAACGTCAGTGTGGCGGCTGGGGCCTCACCTATTCGTTTAATATTCATTTGTAAGACAAAACCTTATTGGAGTGAGTGAGTGACAGACGGAAGGAGAGCAGGGAAAGGAAATGCAGCTGAACGAATACGCTGCGTGATTTAAATGCAATGCACTAAATGCAATGTGGGGCGGCCGGTGTTGAATCTGGTGCTCCGCCACAAATGAGTCCATGTGTGGGAAACCCTGCAGTCGGCACCGACGCGGTCCTCCGTGTTCATACACGCTCAATGTGGAGACGAGCTGTGGCTTTGTATTTCCAGGCGTTATGAAGAGGACATGTACTGGAGACGTATGGAGGAGGAGCAGCACCACTGGGACGACCGGCGCCGCATGCCGGACGGCGTTTATCCCCCGGGGCCTCCTGGTCCCCCCGGCCTTCTTGGCGTCCGGCCCGGCATGCCCGGCCTCCAGGCGCCGGGTCCTGTGGTAAGGCTTCATCGCGTCATTCGGTCTAACCAGTGTGCCCAATATACTGCCTGGAACCATAAATTGGTATTTTTAAAACTGACATTGACAAGTTACTTTCTCTGCGATGGTATTTCTTTTGTCATTTAATAAGCTAGATAGACGTGACGATTCAGCACATAAAACACAAACCGCTGGGAGTCACTACAGAAACCTCCTTGTTGCAAATGTTCCATTTTGAAGTGAAGAACACAACTCCCTCCAGCTCTTCTGTTTTCTAGTTATGCAGCTTGACGAGCTTGTGTATGTAACCGCAATGTGCAAGACTAAAGACATGTTTCTATTCACTCGCCTTTTATGGCTCATTTTCATTCATTCATCATGTTTTTGTTTTTTTTTAAATAATCCATTGTACCACTATAACCTTTTTTCCTTCTTGCAGCCTCCACGTCGGCCCGACTCTTCAGACGACCGCTATGTCATGACCAAGCATGCAGCCATCTACCCCTCAGAGGATGAGCTCCAGTCCATCCAGAAGATTGTGTCCATCACAGAGCGCGCGCTCAAACTGGTCTCCGACATCATTACGGACAAGGACAAGGCCAAAGAAGAAGAAGAAGAAGAGGAGAAGGAGGAGAAAGAACCCTCTAAAGACAGGTGTGATCAGGTCGACTGGATGGTTGACCTTGCTTTGGCTTATTGATGCACTTTCCTTCTCAAGCAGAAGCGTTTTATTTTGGTCCGTTAGAGATCTACACTTGGTGTTTCTGTGGCTACCATCCGCTCAGCGTCTTTGTTTTACAAGCAAAAGTTTGATAACTGATCGGTAAAGTTGCTGAAGAGACTGCAACCTTTCTTCTACCCTGCGGGACGTCCACTTCTAGTATTACTATACTTCTAATACTACGGTAATTACTTTTGACATAAAATGTATTTGTGATCATGCAGCCACCGATCAGCAGAGGCACTGTCAGAATTGACGGGCTAACGACCGCTGTACATTACTGAGACTGAGACTGCTTCACCGGATCTGTGTCTAATCTCTATTTAATTACATTCATTCTGTAATTTAATTTCAAGATCTAATTTACGTTGTTCATCAGGACAACATTCTGTACATGGAAGTGTGTAACAACATTTCCTCCTTCTCTCCATTGTTTGTGTGAACGTCCAGAGCCCTGAAGGGCGTGATGAGGGTTGGAGTCCTGGCCAAAGGTTTGCTGCTTCGCGGGGACAAGAACGTCAACCTTGTCCTGCTCTGCTCCGAGAAGCCCACCAAGGACCTCCTCTCCCGCATCGTGGAGCACCTCCCCAAACAACTAACAGTACTATCTTATATATATCACAACTCTTCATGGCCGTTGCCTCAACAGCCACTTTGTTCCTTTTAGGTTAAGTCGTAACTGATATTAAGAAACCGAAAGTGTGCTTGAGTGGAAACATTTGAATGATGACTTTTTTTAAATCCCTTTGGGCAAAATTGAAGCAGGAAACCATACAATGATGCTGATGTTATCTGATAGTGGGGAAATGCTGTGTCAGAAGAGGTGCTGGTCCACATTCTGTGATGGCTGCCTCTATGAGAGCAGGAGACCACGAGGGGAGTCCTGCTCCCCGTCTGCAGCTTTTGGGGCTCTATTCTCGTCTGGAATAACGGCCTTGGTGTTTTTTCAAGGTGGTCACGCCCGAGAAATACGAGGTCAGTGGCTGCGCTGAGGAAGCGGCGATCATCCTGACGTCCGGCACCGAGCCGAAGATGCGAGTGACGATCACGCTGACTTCGCCCGTCATCAGGGAGGAAAACGGCCGGGACGGAGGTTGGAATCCACCCCCCCCCTCCCCACCCCACCTTTCCCCCATTGCACCTCCTCTCTGCTGTCTCTCTATGAAATCAGTCTCAATATGTTTGTCGACGCCCTGAAGAGTGCTTACCTGCTGGCACATAACATTTCAATCCGATCGTCCAGGCACCCTTGTGCTTCATTTGGATTTCAGTAATCAGAACTGAACGACGGGGCACCCGAGGAAGCGCAAGCGCGTCATATTTCCTTTTTGATGAGGTCTTTCCTTCAGGGTTTGTTGTGCTCAGTTTCTGGCCTGCACAAATTTAGTTTTTATCACCACCTTTCTTTTCAACAACTAAACCATCAAATAGATTTGTTTTTTATTTTGTGATAATCTGCTTTTAATGGTAAAGGTGGAAGCGCATATTATTTTTCTCAATTGATGCCCTTTCTGATAATGGCGGGCGGATTTGAAAAGAAGAGGCAAGTGCCAGCAGTATTGCTCTTAGGCTTTTTCTGCTCTTACCTCTCAAATGCAATATTTATCCTCTTGGAACAAAGCATGACCAGTGTTTGCATTGTGTTCCGTCTAGTTAATTGCAGGTGAGATTCTCTTTGTTTCCTGTGTTCCAGGGGATTCTGTTTCCAGTTTACTGTTATAACCAATGGGAGACGTGCATTACAGTATCAGTTCTCCAAATTTCCTTTTGAGATGAGGATATAAAAGAAAAAGACAATTCCCGCAGAAGATGACTAATAGACAACAGGAGGCCCTTCTGTTCCTCAAGTTTGATTTGGAATTGATTATTTGACATTTTGCAACCCTTTTTTTAAATCTCAAATCCAGATTTGGTAGAGGAAATTGGATGTTACATTCCCACAGGAAACAAATCTTCCTTTTGTGTACCGGTGACCAAGTGTTCACCGTGCTGAGGTCCCCTGTTCTAAAGTGCTCCCCTGAGTTGATTGACACCTTCCTTCACACACATACTAAAAAAAAAATAATCCTGGCAAATATTTTAAAGACTGAACATTTACTCTGAATGAATGGACAATGGAAAGATGAACCAATTAATTCAAATGATTCTTTGGGGAGTATCGTTAAAAGTTCATGTACAGAAGGTTACGACTGAGAACAGCCTTTTGCTATACAATGATTGTCGGGGTCTTCTTCCTACCTGATGTTAGGTATGCATGCAGTGATCCTAACCCCTTTCGTTTGCTGGTAGTTCTCATGTTTTTTTTCTCTTCTTCAGCACCCATTGCTTCCTCCTCCTTTGTATCCATAGTAATATCTACAAGTCAGCACAAAAGCCCCTTCATTTCCTTGGAACGAAAAAACAACAACAAATTTTCTGGTACCTTGTGTCCCATCAGAGGTTTAGTAGAGCCCAACGGCCTTCGGAAGGATTTTTGACCAAGGTTTTCTCACATCCCAAAAACGTTGCCACACCTACTATTGACATCTCACTTTTTAAAAAGATTTAAAAGAACGCTCTTTATTTGCGCACCGTGTTCATACTGACGCCACGGAATCCCGTCTGCGTCCCAGTGCTCACCCGATAAATCAGCATTGGCTTCGGACCAACGGAGCCCCTTAAACCATGTTCTGTAGCGATCTGGTCCACGGCCCTGAGAAGGAAGTGGATAGATTGAATGTGTTGGTTTGTCAGCTTTTAACGTCCTTACCTTTTTTTTTATTTTATTTATTCTGTTATCAGAAAATAAGCAACCATCTGCAATGGTTGTCATGGAGAGAGACATTGGTATGTGTGGCAATGTGTTTGTTCTTTGCCAGCCTCGCTGACCTGGTCAAACACCCATTCCCCATCACCCAGACATATTTTTGACACTTCAAATCCATTTTTAGATGTAACCTCGGGTATGGTGAAAGACCCAGCGGACGTCTTGGACAGGCAAAAATGCCTTGACGCTCTGGCTGCTCTGCGCCACGCTAAGTGGTTCCAGGTTCGGAACATCATTTTACTTTCTTATTGTAGCCTTATGAGATGCATTATTTATACTTGTTTAGTCCTTTTATTTGTGTTTTACACATTTGGTTTTTTGATTTCTATCGCAATTAGGAAAACTATTAATATTTGAAGTATTAAAAAAAAAAAGGAAGAAAAATATTCAAGGATGCCACATATGACAATAATGATCTGGTTAATGTCCTTTATCGATTTTGAGTCTTAAGTTCATTTAAAACTCTCATATGAAAAAACAAACCACCTCATAATAACTGGCATCCTTGTATTCTCTTTGTAATTCTCGAAGTACTGCATTACAGTTCTAGTATGTGATTCCATAAGGCTGCACAATAACTTGCACAAAGTTGTGCCATCAAGAAGTGCTTTCATGTTACACGTTTGTATTGTTTTATTCTCTATATACATACATATATATATATATTTAGTAGAATAGGGATTGAGAGAAAAAGGACCATCTGAGTAGTTTCCTGTGTTTCTGCTCGCTGAGCAAAAGCACAGGCAAAGTAAAGCAGATCTCCTCTGCTCTTTCAGTCCCTATACTCTCCTCACAGGTGGACTCTTGTACTTTTGTTTTTTAAAGTACCTGTTAGTGAGATACCTGGACGAAGCCGGGGTCAGGGTTTAGAAGATGACAAGTTCTCATTTCTTGTGCATCTTGCAAACTTTGAACTCCCTTTTACTAACTGTGAGGTACAAGACTACTGGGAATGGCAGCTGAATGCAAGCTTTAATGTCTCTTTCATACACACCTCCAAACCAAACTCCAGCTTCCATTATGCACAGTAGTGTTTGGACCTCTGTGAGAACTGATTCACTTGATTGGTCCATCTCTTGTCACTCCTTGTCTCTGCGTAAAACCCTAACTTTATTGCATCAAAAGGCCAGAGCCAACGGCCTTCAGTCCTGCGTGATCATCATCCGGATCCTGCGAGACCTCTGCCAGCGGGTTCCCACGTGGTCGTCCTTCCCGGGATGGGTGAGTGCTTTCAGAACGCGCTTTGTAGGCTGCGTTCACTGAAGCGTTAAGAACCGGACGTCTGGTTTGAGTGATCGGCCAGTCGGGTTTGTTTCTCCAGTAGTTTCAGCCACAGGCTGCTGTTTTTCTTTTTTCTCCCCACTGCCCCACCACTGCAGGTCAAACGAACCAATCGTGAGGGCTGGCTGCCGAATGTCGCTGTGTTAGTGAGAGAAATGTTTTACCATCTAGAAGCTTGTTTTAGTTCTTTTTAACTGAATGATCTTTGTTTGTATACCAGCTCCTTAGTTTGGTTATCGATGGCACACGGCAGGCTCTTATGCCGGTGCCTTGAGGTAGGTTATGAGAAGTTACCCTGATGGGCGGTCCGGAGTATGAAGCGCTCTCCACCTTTTTAAAGTGCTGCACTAATGTTTAGTTGTTTGTTTGGGAGAGTGTGTGTGTGCGTGCAGGCAGCTAACCCTCCCCGTTCACTCTGTTCAGGCGATGGAGCTGCTGGTGGAGAATGCGATCAACAGCTCCTCGCTCCCCTCAGCCCGGGTGACGCTCTGAGGCGTATCTTGAATGTATCTCCTCTGGGATCTTGCTCCCTGGTAAGATGTTTCTTTATTACATTGATGACTGTTCCATAACAAACATTGTGTTCTGCTGAGAGGAGGGAAAGTCCTTCAAATTTGATGATATGGGGATAAACTCTCCCAGGCGTGGATGGGACTATAAACAGGATAACTTTGCGTTGTCAACAGGTGCTCCAGGATTAGTGGATCCTTGTGAAAAGAGGGCCATGGATACCCTCGCATCGATGGGGGAGCAACAAAGAGAGGACATCACCTCCAGTGCCCAAGTAAAAGCCCTTTTTATTTTACATTAACTACCAAGCTGAAACATTTAGAGATGAGATGGTTTGAAAGGACTGTCAATCTGCAGAGGCGCTTCTCATTGCGCTGTTTGGTTTTATCTCTGTATTTCCACAGTTTGCCTTGAGGCTCCTGGCATTCCGTCAGATCCACAAAGTTCTGGGCATGGACCCCCTGCCGCAGGTAAACCCCCGCTTCAGCGTCCGCAACAGCCGCAAGCGTCGCCGCGACAACAGCGAGGGGACGGACAGCTTGGAGGGCGACGGCAAGAAGGACAAGAAGGATTACGACAGTCTCTAAAGCGTCTCCGTTATCGGCCGCGCCGCCACGTGAAGTACTAACATGTTGTACGCGCCGTCTCCTGTGTCCTGGTTGAGCTCCAGTGCGGCTGTTGTTTTTGTTTCCGTTAATAAGCTACAGATGTATCCGTGTAACCGCAGCCTCACAGTGCTCTGTATTGCACAAACCAACGTGTCTGGTTGTGTTCCGTTTTAGTTGTAGATTTCTTACAGTTTGGCTTCTCTAGATAACGGTTTTTACCCGACGGGCCTCTGGAGTCGGAGTGGCGCTGCAGCAGCGATGCTTAATCCGCGCCTTCATTCATCTATATCGTCCCATCCGGTGGTGGACCGTGTTCTTAATGTGAAGCATTCATTTGACCAACTCAATTTACTTGTTCTTTTTGGATATGAATAACTGCTTCATGCGAGTGATGTTTGCTGCTGTGGTCTTCTTGTTGCTTCTCGATGCCACACATAACCATAAAAAAGACCTACGGGGCGTCAGAGATTCAGAAGAACTTTCACTGTTGATAGATCTTTGTTAGTTGTGAAGTTGTGCTTTTATGTCCTTTCATTTTCATATATATGGAAGTATTTGTATAATCTTTAAATAGATGAAAAAACAACTAAAAACAGCTTTTGTTTGTGAAACTTGCACCGTTCTTTTTGCTTTTAGAATTATTATTTTTTTTTCCTTGTTAATAAGAAACTTCATTGGCTTGCTTGCCTTTTAACCTGGTTTAGGTGAATTCAGTTCAGTAGTGGAAATGAGAACAGTAATCTAGACTTGGAATGAGAGTGACTTTGAATGCTTGCCATGCTCTGCATTCTGCTTCAATCCCAGCAGCAGAATAAACCCATTTCCAGATTGAGTGACTTGGTTTTCTGTGTTGGAGCCTAAAGGTTTGAGGAAAAAAAAACGCCCTCTTATTTTCAGATTCAAATAACACATTTCCCATGGCAACTTTGTTAAATGGTTGCAGAACTCTTTTCTGAACAAATTTGTCATTTCAATATTTGAGTGCAGTAAAGATGTCAGTCACTGTATGCCAGGATCGTATGCAATTGTATGACATAAACAAATCATAGAAACAATTGCCACATAAATGTTGAGTAACTATCCTATTGTGCTATTTAAAAAAAAAAAATCCCCAGTCATAAATGTAGTGAAGAAAGTTGGTAAAGTGTCTGCATTGAAGATCTAGTCTACCATACTAGTCATGAAATGGATGAGAAGTCTGTTATAGTAATGTAATATGTCATGTCATGAAAATATTGAAGGAAAGTTCCATTAAAGAAAGGATGTTTATATATAAAATCAAAGGTCCTAATGAGGTCATAGTTTACACACAATTCCACAACTTTGGATATTATTTTTATAAAAGTCAGTTACGGTCATTAAACAAATTATTATATGCCATACAAACTAAATATAACAGAAGTCGTATCTTGTTGCTTGTGTGGATGTCATTCCATAATCACTTTTATTATACAATTTTAAAGGAAATTCTCACAAGGCGCTTGTATTTTTGATTTAACAGGCTCTGGACTCGCTGTTGGTGTATAAAAATGCAGGACAAACGACACCAAAAGCACATTTCCTGGTTGTGTAATTGCATAATGTTTTACATTACGTGTCATTTAGCTGCTGCTTTTATCCAAAGCGACTTACAAGTGCATTCAACCATAGGGATACAAACTCAGAACAAGAAACAAGAACGTGCAATTTCATCAGATAAGCCAGTTTACAAATTGCTATAGATGAGTGGCGTTATAAGTACAATGTAAGTGCTACAATCTGTTAGTCTTTTAGTCTAGGTAGAGTCTGAAGAGATGTGTCTTTAGTTTTATCACAGCCAATGCCATCTATTTGATTGCCTTTTGTAGGTGTAGAATAGATTTTGTATTGAGATTGAGTCTTAAACTTGTGAACTTAGACGTATGTATATTGAATCTTGCCATAATAATCAACCTATTTAAATAAATACATTTAAAATGAATAAAAATGAACGCACTCCGGCAGCGAGCTCTCCCTTTAACCCGGAGTTACATCATAACGAGTCCGGCGGAAACGACGCCATAGCGGACTGTTTATTCTAAAGTGCCGTTGCGTTTTCACCAACTACAAATCAACGGTAACTCGCGCAAGATGTCGTCAGTCTTCTGCCTCCGGGACGTTGTCCGCGAGCGGCTGACCGCCGCCGCGGAGGACATCCTGCGGGTCTTTGCGGACCGCGTGGCGGAGTACGAGGAGGAGATCCGCCGCCAGCGCGAACTGCTGGACGTCGTTCTGAAGCCAGTGGTGAAACTACACCAGAAACGTGAGTGAAAAGCACCGTCATGGACGGTGCATCGCGCTGCGTTACTGCCACATTAATGTGCACAGTTACGCGTCGACGTGCACGTCCTGGTGTGAGTTACGCGGTTCCCCCCGCGTTATGACGCCTTTATTACAAGCCTGTTATGGGCGCTCGAGGTGCAGTCTGCCGATAACAGGACTCGCAAGGGTCCCGCATTGAGCGTGACAGCCACGCGCTCCCCCCACACGCCCACTTCCTCGCGCCAAGAACACTTACCTTCCACGAGATGTAACTGTAAAAACGTTTTTATATAAATAATCTTTATCTATACAATGCACATTTCATACAGACCACGTATGCTTTTACAAATACAAGTGATACAAATGGTTCTTTTTTTTAAATATTAACACGTGATAAACTGTAAAACCATTTGCATTTAAAATAAAGAAAAAGAAAACATTTGAAATACGTAAGTGATGACTGGCTTGGGACTGTGAAGTACAGTAGATGTTTTCGGGGTTGGGGCCTTTATTTTTTGTGGTGGTTTTGAGGAACTAGAAACCTGCGAAGGTTCTGGGAGGCACACAGAGCATCGGGGATCTGTGATGGAAGCTGGACCTAAACCACCTGGTGCACGGGTGTCCAACTCGATCACAGAGAGGGCCAAAGAAGGGTTATAGGACAAAGTGCAAAAGAATACATGTTTATAGGCAACGTGGTTTTTTGTAGATAAATACATGAACAATTGTCCTGATTAGACACTTTTTTTCCGTTTTGAAATACACGTCTTCTTCCCACTCTGTGAGGAAGGGAAGTATATTCTGTGACACCTGAGAAGCCGCTAGAAACTCCCATTATAACAGGGGCCGCCCCCTTCCTCCCTGAAATTACCCCCCCCCCCCACCCCAAAAAAGTGTGGGAAAGAAATGGCTCTGACATGTGAGGGAAACCACTAACTTCTCCCTTCCTCCCTCTCAGAGGTCGCGGAGGGTCTCGCTGACCGGCCGCTATGTGTTCAGGACAGGAGCTCCAGTCAGGGTCCCCCGGGGATCAAGGAGGAATGGGAGGAACTGCCCACCAGTCGGGAGGGACAGGAGACCGACACATGTTTAATGGGTCGGACTCCGCTTTTGGATCCTCCAAACGTCACCTCGGGAGCAGCAATCCAATCTGAGTCCGACAGTGACCACGGCCTCCCTCGCCGAGACCAGCGCAGCGAGCGCTTCAAATGCTTGTTCTGCGCCGAGGAGTTTTCCGATTTGTTAAAGTTAAAAGTTCACACGAGGACCCACGTGGGAGAAAAGCACTACAAATGCGACACTTGCGGGAAAGGGTTCGCCCTGAAGGCCCGGATGAGAAACCACGCGGGGGCGACGCCCCTCAACTGCCCGGTGTGCGGGAAGGAGTTTGACTGTGGCGCCAACGTGAAGACGCACGCGGGCCAGAAGCCCCACGCGTGCCTCACTTGCGGGAAGGGATTCCGCCGGGGGGCGGACCTGAGGAGGCACAACCGCACTCACACGGGGGAGAAACCGTACCGCTGCGCGCACTGCGGGAAGGGCTTCTCCTACGCCTCGTCGCTGAAGAACCACGTGCGGGTGCACACGGGGGAGAAACCCTACAAGTGCGTCCTGTGCGGGAAAGGCTTCGCCGTCGGCACGACGCTGAAGATACACACGCGAGTGCACACTGGGGAAAAGCCGTACGCGTGCGGCGTGTGCGGGAAGCGGTTCGCTCACGGCACGGGACTGAGACTGCACGGGAGGATCCACGCACACGAGAGGCTGCAGAGCTCGAATCCCAAAATGTATTGAGATTCAGCTGTTGGGATCAAAAGCTGGTACCAGCTTCCCAAGAGGGTTTGCGACTGTTCTGCATAGATTTGTGGAACGAGTCGAGTACCAAGCTGTATTTTTTCGGTTGCAGATTTTATGTTTTCGGATTCAAATCTTATATTTTCAAGTTTCAGATCTTTTTTTCACATTCAGGTCTTTGTTTTTGGGGACCCCTGTACACACCATGTGCAGAGAGTGCATGCATGTTCCTTGCAGACTTATTTCTTGGCACCTGCCACGTTTCCTGCCCGCAGTTTGAACCACGTCAATTCAATTCATTTTGTATAGCCCAAAATCCCAAGCCCAAAAATTTGCCTGAGAGGGCTTCACAGTCTGACATCCTCTGTCCGAAACCCTCACATGGGCACAGGACAAACCCTTCCATGGGGGAAAAAAGGGGAGAAATCATTTTGATGACATTCAAAGAACTAAGCCTATCCTTGTTTTTCAAGTGTGAAGAGACGGACCAAAACAACTCTGCATTTTTGGAAGGTGTGTTTGCTGGTGGTTGAGAGACAACAGGAGGGTTGACAATGAATTTAATTTAACAAAACATGGTGGTATTTTTGAGACACACAAATAAAATAGTATTTATTGTAATCAACCACTTTTATTTCTACTTTTATTGAAAACAAAGTTATACTTTCAGCCAAACAGATAAGACGAGGATGTCAGTCTTCATTTGCGCAGTCAGAGGTATTTTATATATTTCGTGCTGACTATATTCAATTGTGACAGTGAGTAGATATTTGTGCGTTTTCATTACGTTTTTTTCAGGTATTTGTGCCGTTAAGATGTTTCAGAAATCATTGGTATATGTTCCTTTAGCACGTTACTTCACTCTGTATTCATGATTTCGCTGATGATGGTATAGAGATATAAATAGACACATTTGTAGCCGTGTTAATATTTAATACCTTTGTTAAATGTGTAGTCGTAGTTACGTTATATTCTTTTCGAAAGCTTGCCTATATTCAGACATCTCGCTGCAAACCCTCCCTCACATTGAGCTTTTTCCATCCGTTATTAACAAGACAAACTTTGTCAGAAAGATCAAATGTCCTATAATCATTGAAGTAATCAGTGATGCTCCCACTTGGTGTTTAATGATATTTATGGTCTGCTGCAGTGTTAAGAACAATTATTTATGTAACTAATTACGGGGAGTGTATAACAAGATTGCATGATAAACAAAAAAAATGTTTGTCACTCTGTGTTCAACAAACTTGTCCTGTTAAAAAATGGCATATTCCACTTTTTTGGAGAGTTGCAGAAACAGATGTTCACAAGTAAACGATATTAAATCGGCAGAAATCCTCAAAAAGAACATAGATAATACTGGAATAAATTAAAAACTATATGTTTAATAAAAACGGATCACGTACAAACACGCACGCATGCGCATTCTTCAATGCCATGGCAACGGAGCGATGACAGAGGTTACTTAAGACTTTCTGATCTTTCCATTTGCACTTTGACTTGAACACGAACTTTAAACCTCTTGTGAAATCAAACTGCTGAGAGCGAACTCTTTGACTTTTTAACTGCTGGACGGAATCTATCGATACAAATCTTGTTGGAGAAGTGATCTACTAGATAACAACTCTTGTGGAGCACAGAAGAGGCTGAAAAAGGCCCTCAGGTGGCTGAGCATCGCGGACGAGCACCTGCTGGAGGTGAAAGAAATATGACAGCCAGTCAATGATTTATCCGAGTAGAAGGATTATTTGAGGGGCGGGATGTGTTAAATGTCACAGGGACATCTGTGGAATGTGTCAAAAATTAGTGTAGAGGTTTTAAAACACTATTATTTTGGTTTGAGGGTATTATATTTTTGAAGTTTAACATTGAAATTTGTGAAAAAAGATGGCGCTGAGAACACATTTCATGGTAAGTTCAAATATATTTGAGTCCATAGCCACGGCTGAGGGGTGACGTCACGACGTGCAGGCGTAGTCAGCCCACGTCACCATGGTTGAAACATATATGAATTCAATTCAATTAATTTTATTTTGTATAGCCCAAAATCACAAATTACAAATTTGCCTCAGAGGGCTTTACAGTCTGTACACATACAACATCCTCTGTCCTGAAACCCACCATCGGCACAGGAACAACTCCCCAAAAAATGAAAAAAAGCCTATAGCAGCTTAACTAAGGGCTGGTCCGGGCTAACCTGAGCCAGCCCTAACTATAGGCACAATCAAAGAGGAAAGTTTTAAGTTTTACTTTAAAAGAGCTGACAGAATCTGCCCCCAGACTGAAAGTGGAACCTGGTTCCACAAAAGAGGAGCTTGATGACTGAAGGCTCTGGCCCCCAGCCTACTTTTTAAAACCATAGGAACAACAAGTAACCAGCATCTATGGAGCGCAGCTGCCTTGTAGGGCAATAAGGTGTTACAAGCTCTTTAAGATACGACGGTGCCTCACCAGCAAGTGCCTTGTAGGTGAGGAGAAGTACCTTAAAATCTATTCTTGATTTAACAGGGAGCCAGTGCAGAGAAGATAATACAGGAGTGATATGATCCCTTTTCTTAGTTCTTGTTAATACACGTGCTGCAGCATTCTGAATCAACTGGAGAGGCTTAAGAGATTTACAAGAGCAGCCTGATAACAAAGAATTACAGTAATCCAGTCTGGAAGTGACAAACACATGAACTAATCCGCATGAACTAATTCATCACTTTGAGACAGGAAGATGCTGATTTTTGATATGTTACGTAGATGAAAATAGGCAGTCCTTGAAGTCTTCTTTATATGCGAGTTGAAGGTCGTATCCTGGTCGAAGAGAACTCCCAGATTCCTGACGGTGCTGCTGGGTACCAGAGCAATTCCATCCATAAAAACTATGTATTGTTACATGCTGCATACACTATTTCTCTGATATTGCGCGATGTGCGCGTGCTGCACTTCCTCACGCGCTGCGATGTGCAACTCAGACACTCGTTAGTAGAATAAAGAGTGATACGTTAAAGAAGATCCAGTGGTCGTGTTGGATCAATGCCGCCATGTTTCACTGACTCACTAGTTCAACGCATATCAAACACGTCCACGCTTTTTATTGCAAACCAATGACACACGTGCAGAATAAACGTCTCTGTCCAGAGCTCTAACAGTGGCTTAGTTTGCTGGCTGATTAGAAGCGTTTTTATATTACAAACCGTACCACATTTTTTTTAGGGAGGACAATAATTACATTCATTGTTGTATTATTATTGTTATAGTTGTAGTTGGTTTTCCATGTGTTATCTGTTCAGCTTGACAGGCAGAGCTGTTTCATGTTACTGTTCAGAGCACATTGTTCATGTGTGTTCTTCAGGCCTTGGCTCCTCCTCCAGATGACCTGGAAAGAGGACTACAGGGAGGCAGCGGCCTCCACCTCAGGTAGCATCTTGCTGCAGTTGAATCTCTTCTTTATGGATTTCAATTTTGATTAATAGTTGATGCTATATGCAGAGACCAGAGGTAAGTTTACAGGGTATGGTTGTTATTCTGTGTTGTATTTTCCTTCATACATACATTTTTTAAATATCGGGTAATGAATCCAACCCAAAGCCGGTCCCTCATCCAGGGTAATGACATTTTTTAAATATTTCTGTTGACTTACTGAACGATATTTATTATGGTTATGTTGACATGGTGGCCTTTTTTAAATTTCTGCTGAAATATATTTTCCTCACAGTGGTTTTCTTAGTAATACTGGGTAATCAATCATTGCAAAAATGCATTCAACCGTATTCCTGGGGCTAATGAAAAAGCAGGACACTGTCTGACAAAAAGACAAATGTCGTAAATGTGGGATCATTAATTTGCAATGGCAAATAATTGTCATATCTCATGTTGTGTTGTATTCTCTAACGTGTGACAGCATAAATGGCATGTTCACATTCAAATAAGATGGAAACTGGCTTCACATGCACTGTGGGAATCGTCATTCTTTGGATTGAACCGCTGATCGTTTGGACATTGCCGGAACTCAGTGTTTGCTTTGAAACTGCTTTGCAATTAGATAACAGATCACCACCACGTGGCCATTTTAAAGTTGTGCACTTTTATTTTGCCTCTAAATCCGTTTTTATTACTATTCTTTAAGTCACTCTGTCCGTCCTACTGCATTTTATAATATATTCTATGACATACGTATCGACATATTTTCACAATTACCACATAGTTCTATTGGAGAAGCGTTATAAATCTCTTACCAAAGCATTGCAACTCCAAGTCAGGATGGCCGAGCGGTCTAAGGCGCTGCGTTCAGGTCGCAGTCTCCCCTGGAGGCGTGGGTTCGAATCCCACTTCTGACATCTTTTTTTTACAAACAGACTGCCAGGTTAAGGAAAATGTTATGGTTTAGAGTGCACCAAAGATTAGACTTGTCAGGTTTCTTTGGACCTTTAAGACGGATCATATGTGGACTGATTACAGTGTAGAAGCATCCACATCTTACAGGGTTGAACTGCTCCAACTAGTCAACAACATTAAGTGAATACCGAATGCAGTAGTTAAAGGGTTAATGTGAAGACAACATTGTCAACTTTGTCCCTTCAGGTATTTCCTTTCAATAACCCACCGTCCTCATTTCTCTGGTTTGCAGGCACGTGCACAGACAGACCCCTAAGTGGTGCTCAAGCACCTGCCCTTTTGCCCCTTCTGCTGGAGCACAATTGTTTCTTCATTCATCAATATTTAAGAACAACAATTACTCTCTCTGTCATCAATTCCCCCCAAATGTGTTTGGATATCCGACAGGGAATTTATTTGAGTTCCTCGCCCGAACTGCACCGCGGCGCTCACAAGCCCCCGCCCACCTCCATGAACATAATTATAAATAATGTTTATAAGTAAAGTTCAGTAAAGCCTGCGTAGATGAAAAAACTGAGTCTTTATACACATGTGGAGGACATTCTCCGTGCCAGTTACGAGAAGCTGCAAAGCAAGTTGAGATAACAACCCACACACACAAGATCCTCCTCAGTGGCCGATGCAAATCATAATTAATTGACATAAAAGTAAAACTTGGATCCGGAACTTTCGTACCGAATAAGATATGAACCAAGGCCACGAAGAGAAGTCCTTTGTTTTGAAGCTTCTATGAGATCGAGTCGACCGTCCTCCTTTCTCAGGGCACAGCTGCAAACTAACATTTTGTATCATGCTGCTCTTTGCACATCAGGGTCAAATACAGGACACTTGAGACACGGCTTTAGCACAAAACAATGTTATAACATATTTTTACCATTACACATTATTAGCATTATTTTCTACTTTTGTGTTGATCTTTTAAATTCATGTAAACAGAAAGGAGTTTGGGAAATGAGAATGCAATTCAACACCGATTTCAAATCTATACTCAATCAGAGCATTTATTTAACGTCCCCCTGCATCATGCAGCTGCTTGAGCCTCCTCATCATCGAACTTGTTGAACAAGTTCATTTGAACTAAATGTTCACTGAACATTTATTTGCCAAAATATGCTAAACATACAAGGAATTTGTCTTGGCGGTTAGTGCGCCATCCATCCATCCATCCAGGAATCAGAAAACATTTATTTGCCAAAATATGCTAAACATACAAGGAATTTGTCTTGGCGGTTAGTGCGCCATCCATCCATCCATCCATCCGATGGATGACATGACACTTGGCATTCAGGCCAAAGAGTTCAATCTTTGTTTCAGCAGACCAGAGAATTTTGTTTCTCATGGTCTAACAGTCATTCAGGTGCTTTATGTCATGTGCTTTTTACTGAGGAGTGGCTTCCGTCTGGCCACTACCAAACAGGCCTGATTTGTGGAGTGCTGCAGAGATGGTTGTCCTTCTGGAAGGTTCTCCTCTCTTCATAGAACAACGCTGGAGCTCTGTCAGAGTGCCCATCGGGTTCCTGGTCACCCCCCTGACTAAGGCTCTTCTCCCCCGATCGCTCAGTCTGGCTGGGCGGCCAACTCTAGGAAGAGTCCTGGTGGTTCCAAACTTCTTCCATTTCCGGATGATGGAGGCCACTGTGCTCATTGGGACTTTCAATGCTGCAGAAATCTTTCTGTACCCTTTACCAGATCTGAGCCTCGATACAATTCTGTCTCGGAGGTCTACAGATAATTCCTTGGACTTCATGGCTTGGTTTGTGCTCTGATATGCACTGTCAACTGTGATACCTTATATAGACAGGTGTGTGCTTTTCTCAATCATGTCCAAGCAACTGAATTTAGCACAGGTGGACTCCAATCAGGTTGTAGAAACATCTGAAGGATGATCAGTGGAAACAGGAGGCACCTGAGCTAAAGTTTGAGTGTCATGGCAAAGGCTGTGAATACTAATGTACATGTTATGTTTTCATTTTTTATTTTTAACAGATTTGCAAAAATTAGCAAAAAACAGTTTTCACCACGTAGTTATGACTGAAGGGGCTTCACTCAGTCCAATGGTCAAAGTAATGTATAAACTAATTTGTTACATTATCGCCTCGTTAGTGTCTTTCCAGAAGGAGCTTGGTTCATTTGGGTGTTGTTGCTCCAAGAAATCTCTCTCTGTGAATTAAATAATCCAGATCTCCAGTGTGTTCTATGGGTGTGTGTTACTAAGAGTCCTCGGGCTGTGAGGACGTGTGGGTCCTCAGATAAAGTCAGTGAGTTAGAGAATAAACAAAAAATAGTTAAAACCACAAATAAATTGTAATAATAATTAATAGTTATTGTTCCCTCTGGTGTAAATAATATTTGAATGGCCCTGTGCGCTCGAGTGTGCACTGTTTCAGTGCCACAGTTTTAATCGATTGTCATGCTTTGTTGTAAATAAACGTGACTGGTTTGATCCTGTTATTGAGTTGATTACATTGATTTGAATATATATGTTAATATGCTTAATTATATATGTATATATAATGTTATAATGTTAATGCTGCTTAATTAACATATATATATATATAATGTCAATTAAGCTGCGTCCAGTCATGACATATTCATGTATCTGCAGTTAGTGTATTTGTAAGTGATGAACTTTGTGAAACATTTTATTTCACTCTAAATGTTGCAATGTGAATACGAGGTATTTATATGACGAATAACCTGTAAAAATGTCGTGCCATAATGAGATTATTAGGTTATTCAAGAAAATGCACGGCAGAAATGATTGAGATGTATTGCCGCTTATTGGCATTGAAATGTACCCCTTTTAGTCTGATTGCATTTCTTAGTTCAATCTCTAATACGTGACAAAAAATACTCACTTAAGTGAAATTGTGAGGTAGCCAACATTTCATAAAACATATATTCCTGTTTCTCGTTCAAGCCACATCCTTTTATTTATTAAATTAATCATTTGGATCCCACTGTACTTGCAGAGCTGTTCCTTCGGTGACGCACATTATTGAGCCGCAATTAAGCTGCAGACGCAGTGATTTTGTTTCCTTAACGCGAATGACGGGAGATCTTTCCACTCTTTTCGTTTGTTGTTTATTTCACGCAGCAACATGGTTAACGAAATACAGAAAAAGCACATTCAGTCACACGGTAGAAAAACGGTGCTCTAGTGCCTAATGCAGATCATCTCATCTCTGACGTCAATATACTGTAAACGAGTAAATAAAACGGGCGTCAATCCAACACATTTACCTTAATATATGACACATGTTTTCAGCTCCTGCTCAACATGGACAAATCAAAAACCAAATAATCAGCATTCACTCCACTCCATATAACCATTTTGGATTTTTATACTTATTATTAAATGCTTCTTTCCCCGGATTTTTGTCTTTGTGTGACCAACAAGTAAACTAAGAGTCAAGGTAATAAATCAAATAATACAATTTAAAAACAAACAAACAAACAAACACAAATGCCATTTAAATTGTCTCCCAGTTTACCTGAACCAAGTTTCTAATTAACCTCAGATGAAGCTCATAATATGATTAGAAATAGTAATGGCGTAGGCCAACTTGTAGATTAATAAATTCAAAAGGACAGTTGGTCCAACACAAATGGGCCACAAGTCGAATGTGTCTCCTGCATAAATGTTTGTTTGGAATGATTAGAGATAACAAAGTGAATGGAACCACAATCCAAACAAATCCAGCTGTCACCACATTGAGGTTTCACACTCTTTTCCTTTGAGGAGGATAAGACCTCTCCCTCAGTGTGAAATAGTCCAAATTGTATCTGTTGCTTTCCTGTTCACGGTCACTAATTGTTTCGTTTTTGTGTGTCCTTCTGCAGGAGTTAAATGGCAATGGGGTCGTGTTTTTGAGGTGAACACCCAAACTAAATGCGCACAACTAATTCAGCAATGGTCACCCCTTGTAATCTAGCATGAAATATTACACTCTAAAGGCTGGATGGATCCAATATAAACAGGACTTTCAACCATATCTCGTTTTCAGCTGCGGCATTTCGATGGCGGGGTCACAATTTGGCGTAAAGAACATGAAAGTATGGATCCACCCTGACTTGTATCCACGGATAAGGCTGCTGCTGGTGGTGTGATGGTGGGGGGGGATATTTTCTTGGCACACTTTGCGCCCCTTAGTACCCTTAGCATTGTTTAAATACTACAGCCGACCTGAGCATCGTTGCTGAACGGGACCACAGTGTAGAATTAAGGCAGAATGCAAAAGGGGGTCCAACCTTTTACCAGCAAAGTGGACCTAGAGACTTTTCATCCTGTTACGACCTTCAACTGACATTTACATTTGTATTAACTGAAGAGTGTTTCCCTGAAGATAGAGTGGGAGTAATGTGTGAATCAAGTCTTAGAATTGTCCTAAAAAGTCACTTTTTGTATAAAAACCCTTAATGGTTTAACTAAGTAGAAGTCAAGTTTATCTTTTGGTACCATATGTGGCAATAAATGGCCTCTGATTCTAATTCTCAAGCAAATAAAATGGAGCCTGATTGTGATCTTTCCCTGACCTCATAGAGAGTACCAGCTGTTCCCAGAACATTTCTGCCTCTTGGGTGCACTTAGGGTGAATGCTGTGTGTGTTCCACATCCAGAAAATACATGCACACACACACACACACACACACACACACACAATCTTCTCTCAACAAATGTTCATGATCACAGTTACACATAACAAATACAATATATTAGACTTTTTATACACTTATATTATAGCACTATCGTTAGCAGAACCCCAATAGAAGGGAAATTAATCATAATATAAAAATCAGCTTTATTGGCCATGTATGCTTGTACTTACTGGGGATTTCTTTTCAGTTGCAATATTGCAATCTTAACTCAGAGAAAATCAATTAATACAGTACTTGTGTGCACAGACTCTTTTTTTGCCATGAATATGAACTCATTTAACTGTGACCTTAAGATATTACAGAATATGTCCAAGGTAGAGTAGCTGAATGTCACCACACACATTGTTCTCCTTCAGCGTGATGCTGCTTCCGCTTGGCTCCCTAAAACAAAACTAAATGTTGAGTTTATAATCACACAACAAAACAAAAATAGCAAAGCAATCAAGCTCAGTTTCTTTGTGTATTTAATCTCAACGTTTGTATTGTTACTGGACTTAAAAAGTGATATTGCAGGTTGATAACTTTAACTCTACTTGAGCTCACTTTGATCCATTTCTGTTCATAATATGAAGTACAAACCATCTATAAACCGTCACAACCTCAGTCAAATATTAGTCAGCCTCTTAGGAGTGCACCATGACGGAGTCCAGTAATTAAGTCCAGTTTATTCTCTTGTCTCATGTGTATTTAACCTAAAACAAACCAAAAACCAAACTATAAATCTAAATTTAAGGGCTGAAAAAAATATTGTCAACAGAACTTTTTTTATTTGTCAATTGTTGACTACACAACTACATTAATTCAGGTTTCAAGCCACTTGAATATTCTCAGGATTAAATCATATTACAAGTTACCCATTATTATGTTCCAGACACTGGCATCAGAACATTTTCCCTAGCTGGCTTTTGTTGAATATTAATTGAGAACAACTCCAACCAAACCAAAAGTCTTAAATCCGGTTCTGTCATGTTGTGTAACGCTGAGTGTTGCGCGTCTATTTGTGGGAGGGTTCGATGAAGCTGATATGCTGGCCTTTATAAACCCAGGGGACAGCCTACAAGACGAGACGAGACAAAGTTTCAAAACTACAGGTAAGGCCTCACATTGTTACTGTACCTCTGATTCCGTGGAGCATTCGTATCATTCTACTTTCTTCAAACTAATCCCTTCTCATGAGCTATTTTGTAAAAAAAAGATATCCACACTTTTCATCACCTCTGATCAAGTTATGTCAAATTTGTCAATGTTATAATAAAAAGGACGGGCAGTTGTAGTTAAAGTGAAATTACGTAACCGAATGGACCAGTTTTCTGCGGATGCTCCATAGATCTCCATCCATAGGACATTGACAAAAACATTTCCAATGGGCGTAATTTGTTTCTTTTGGTGAAACAAATGGCTGGCTTTCCTTTTCTAATACAGCTGTTATTGTGCTACATTTTCAACTCAGCGAGTCATAATGTGTGGTTGGCTTATTTTTTTAAGGGACTATAAGATACTGTTTATGGGTTTTCCATGTCTCACAATTGTCTGCATACTTTTAAAATTGGTTGTTTTGCTATACAAGGGAAGAAAATCCTTCTTACAGTGTCCATGATTAACACATTATAATTCTATAAAACTATAAAAACTTATTTGAGGGACATAATTGTATTGCGATTCCGGACAACCACTGTAAATCTCCTATAAAATGCAGCGCTTGCTCCTCCACAGCCTCCTGTGAAGCCATGGCGTCCACTCGTCCCCTCCTGCTCTTGGTCCTGTGCAGCCTGACTCTCACCGATGCTCAGTTCAAGCTCTTTAACCTGCGGGCCACCGATCTGTCCGCCAACCTCCTGGGAAGGCCAGACGCCTATGTCAAAGTGTCCTGCGGCTCCTCCGATCTGGGCGAAACATCCGTCAGCAGGAACCAGAAGAACCCCTGGTGGGAGGAGGAGTTCGCCACGTACAAGGGCCAGGAGAACGACGTGATGAGGCTAGAGGTTTTCGACAAAGACCTCTTCTTCGACGACCTGCTGGGAGTCTGCCAGCGTCAGATCAAACGGGGAACACATGCGCATGACTGCTTCCTGGAGAAAGGGGGCACCCTCCATTATACCTACACACTCGGCTGATGAGGCGTGTGCAGCTATATCTGACCTTAAGTCATCACATGCAGCCTGCGATTCACTCAGACTGGCTCTAGGGATCGTTTTCATCCTAACGACAAATCTGGGATGAGTCGTTGACTCATTAACTCAATCAATAAACATTTGGGAAACACTATCATTATGTTTCTTAGATTGTCAACAAACAAAGAAATAAAGAGTGATGGAGCAATCAAACTGTGTTTTCAGTCATTTTACATAATACTATTGAAAGTTATAAATAATAATTTGACCGACTCTTTTGACTGGAGATCACTACCCTGCAGGGCTGAATTTTATACATTTCTGGTGCTAGAAATTGACACTCTTGTACGAAATAGATGTGATTTTGATTCATTTTAATAAAATGGAATGTAAAATGCTTGCAAAATTACAAGTTGATATGCAACATTGCAACAAAATGTGGATCTGGAAATAAATGCCAAGTAATTATATATATTGATCTATTTCGTCGTACTAAAACGTGGCCTTGTAATGAAGAATGTTTCGACTTAAATAAATCGACCCAAAGTCAGATTAATGCTCATGATTGAGGCACAGCCCGGGGAGGCCCAGCAGCTGCTGTGTTTCGCTCTAGCCTTTTAAAAAACCCTAAAATACAACTCTCTTTTAAATGTCCACTACAGGAACATACAGGGCGACTGTGGGTGAGTGAGGAACACGGTCGTCCTCCCATCAGAGGGTTGTGGGTTCGATCCCCGGCCTGGCAAACCCGCATGTCGTTGTGTCCTTGGGCAAGACACTTAACCCAACAGCTGTGACTACAGTGTGTGGATGTTAGTTACCGATGTGCAGGTGTCACTGTGTGTGGTTCTCCTGTCATCAGCGTATGAATGGGTGTGAATGGGTGAATGATGTCGTGTAGTGTTAAAGCGCTCTGAGTGGTCAGAAGACTAGAAAAGCACTGTACAACAGTCCATTTACCATTACAGTAGCCACGCTTAAACTGCAAAATACAGGGTATTTTTTTAAATTAGATTTAATTTAATTAGATTTTCTGCATTTGTTTTAGATTCCTTCACTCACAGTTTAAGAGTACCTATGATATGAAATGACAGACTCCTACATGCTTTGTAAGTAGGAAAACCTGCAAAATCGGCAGTGTATCAAATACTCCCCACTGTATCGCTTGGGTAGTTTCGTCCCTCGGTTAGAGCTTCTAGAGCAGGGGTCTTCAACTAAAACGTGAAGAGGTCCAGTTAGACAAAGTTTCTAGAAGCAAAAGTCGGGACGATCAGTGTGACTACTTGGTGTGATTAAATAAAGGTGAATAATGGTAAATGGACTGTACAGCGCCTTTCTAGTCTTCCGACCACTCAGAGCGCTTTAACACTACATGACATCATTCACACCCATTCACACCCATTCACACCCATTCATACGCTGATGACAGGAGAACCACACACAGTGACACCTGCACATCGGTAACTCCCATCCACACACTGTAGACGCAGCTACAGGAGCAACGTTGGGGTCACCACCAGCCCTCTGATTGGAGGACGGCCGTGCTCCATGTAATTAATAAACGACTATCAGATCAATTCAGTAGGATTCTAAAACCCCTTTGACAATATTTTTTGTCACGTAACAAAGAACTGAACATATATTCCACTTTCAGTCCGGGGAGCAGATTCAGCTCTTTCAAAGTAAAACTTAAAACTTTCCCCTTTGATTGTGCCTATAGTTAGGGCTGGCTCAGGTCAGCCCGGACCAGCCCTTAGTTAAGCTGCTATAGGCTTAGACTGCCGAGGGACTTCTTAGGACACACCGAGCTCCTCTCTCACGCTCTCGTTCTACAATAAAACACCTTTTATTAATGCACATGACTAATTCAGCTTCTTTCCGGGAGTTTTTTTGTGCTTTCTCCCCTAGCAGGTCTCCGTAGATCGCAGTTCCTTCTGGACCCTGGTCCTGACACCTGCCGTGGCCCTGCTGACGCCTGCTGCTGCCATCATCATCATCATCATCATTATTATTTTTGATATTAATCATATTACTGTACTCGTAAACCAACATTACCCTCTCCTTAAGTCTCTGTGCTCTTCCTCCCCACACGCTTCTGTGGATGGTGGTTCTATCTGATGGTGGTTCTATGTGATGGTGGTTCTATCTGATGGTGGTTCTATCTGATGGTGGTTGCCCCTGCAGTGGTCCTGCTGTGCGCCTGGCTCGCTACTCACAATTACTTGAATAATTTCTGTCATAGGAATTGAATGTATTATACATCTTTTACATTGTTTATTCTGTAAACACGACATCCATTGTAGTCAGTCCATCCCGGGAGTGGGATCCCTCCTCTGACGTTCTCCCTTCTCTTTGTTCCCCATGGAAGGGTTTTTCATTTTTTGGGGAGTTTGCCGATGTGAGGGTTTTGGGACAAACCTGTAGTTTTGAGGGTATGTGTGATTTTGGGCTATACAAAAAATGAATTAAGAGAGACTTAAAAACTCTAACGATGGAAACACTTTTTTCTTTTTTCTGTTTTCTGACAAGAGCATAAGCAGAAAAAATAAAAATAAGTGGACGAAAAAAATTATTTCGGGATGAATATAGTTTTGACTCAGTTCTATATTTTTTCAATCTTCACTTATATATATTTTTTGATATTGACTGGGACCGGCGTGTAATCACATAAGAGGCTTCTGTACCAAACAACCAAGGAGCCTGCACATGCGCATATCTTAAGGCATCATTTTGACTTTCTAATCAATCTTTTTTTTTGGGGGGGGGGGCGGAAATGGGCTCCCATAGTATCTCCCTCTCTCACAAGTCAAATAAACGCCCTGTTAGATATCAAAACACATTTGGGGGGAATTGACAGAGAGAGAGAATGTATTGAACTGAAATTCTCAGATGCACACGCCCCATCTCAGCCTTCCAGTCCCACCAGGACTTTTTAAACTTGTATAGTTTGTTTCACGCGATAATAACAGAAGAATCAAAACACATCTGGATAAAATTGATGATTAGGGATTGCACTGTAGAGCTTTATTGGAGCTCGCTGGGTCCCACTTGGCTGATGAGGGAATCCTCAGTCAGTCTTCAGTCACTCACGCAGACAGTAGCGCCTCGGTTTGGGGGGATTCTGACAAGGGAATTAAACTGGATTTGAAGAGGTATCCGTTGGATTCAACGTGGCGTTGTGCGTTGTGACACTGGTGTACTCTCCATTCAGCCTCAAAGATACTTCTTTGACGCTTTTATTTTCTGAAAGTCTTTTAGGTTCCAGTTATTAGTCCAGTCCAGTATTGGTACGAAACAAAAGTCTCCTGACAAAACTTGTCGGAAGCCTTAATGGACGTCCCTATGTAATGGATAATGAGGCAAGATAAGGTGCTTATAGACTGTGCTAATCTTTTGACTCGTTGGTGGACCTACGAGACCCCCCACAATGTGATGTTCAATGAATGTATAGACTAAAGAGTGGTTCCATCATCTCGTACGTGGGACTTTAAATAAATGTCCGTGAATTGATAGATCTGAACCTGCAGTGTGTTCTGTGAGTGCGAGTGTTAGAAAAGTTCCCGGTCGGTGAGTTAAAACCACAAGAATCAGGATCAGGACTCTGGTGGATCCTTTTGTCGGATGTCAGCCTCGTGGTGGGACGGAGGTTGGACGTCGCACTGCGACGGGTCCGACAGCTCTGGCGGTTCAGTCCTGGACTCCCGAGAGACTCTGCGGTCCTGGCCGCAGCCGCTCGGGCCGTCGCCTTGCTCAGACGCGGGACTCTGGTGGGACTGGCGGTCACAGCTCGGACTCTGGTCCTCTGACGGGTCTGCCGGCCCGCCGTGGGAATCCCGATGCAACCGTCTCTGCAGCTCCTCTGCACTGCGGGCCAACATGATGCTCACCTTCCTCTGGTGGGCCAGCGCCTCGTCCTTATCGTTCAGCTGCAGCAGGAAGCACAGCCGCATATATTCTCTACTTGTTGATATTGTTTTTATGTAAATTGAAGGTTTTGTAAAAATCAAACTCTCTCTGTGTGTGATGTGGAAGTGACCATTGGAAGCGGATTCAGCAACCCCTCTTTGAGTAGCCTTGAATCATGACTCTGCTCCATGCTTGCAAGCATTTAATAAATGTCCTGTTTGATGAGTTCACACCGGCGTGGAGTAAAGGTACAACGGGAGAAACGTTGGTCGAAATGAGATGTAACGAGTAACTGAGGCTCTGTGAGCTTGGTAATCTTCCACACGCCAATGAAGCCGTAATACTAACGGCAGACTCTCACTCAGTTCCAGTGACATTCTGATACCAGAATAGGAAAATAAAGCAAAACCCTTCATGTGATCTCCAGGTAACCGGCCTGCAGGGGTTAAGAGATACTGACCAAGTCCAGCAGTCTGTAGAGAGTCTCCAACAGGTCATCGGGCGTCTTGGACGGCAGCAATCCTCTCAACCGCTGGCTCACGCTGATCAGGGGGCTCCGGTTTGCACCTGGGGGCCAAAATAGAAACAGACTCTTTTCTGATGGTTCCGGGTAAGAACAACTACAGGTAAGTGAACGGTCACTGTGAGGGAACCAGGGACAAGTTTTTCAGTAGTAAGATGTTTTATAAATCAGGCTAGGAATGATACAGAAACATTCCCCTCCGCAAAAACCTGTGGAATATAGAAGGGAATTAAAAGTGGAAGGTTGGGGTATGTTAGAGATACCGAAGTGGAGATCTCACGCATCAGAGTCTGAACAACATTTACAAATACATGCACATGTACATTTTGAAAGACACTAAAGGTATAAATAAAAAGATAGATATCACCCTGAAAACTCTTTAGTTGATAAACAATATGAAGACAATTCTTTGTTTTATTATCCTAAAAATGTTCGTGTGTAAATATTTAAAAGAAGTGTTCAATAATGATACATTTTAGTATTATTAAAAAAATATATACTGACAAAATAGACCAAATCTCTAAATTGATTTTGCTGCAATGGTTGGCCTTACGGTTCAAATCAGAAGGAGCGGAAAGGCGCTTCATGCACTTTGATGGATTTAAACCACACGCGGTGTCTCAAAGGCACAAATACTTTTTCTAACCTCTTGGGGATCTTCGTAGCTGCTCTACGTCTCTCAGAGCAAAAGACTGAACCAAGTTAGAAAAAGAGTTTTGGGTTCCTTAACGTAACCCCGGTTCATTTATAACAGAGGGCGCCGTTTCCCCATCCCACCCCTCCTCGCATCTCACAGAAAGAAACCGTTCTAGAATGATTTGTGAGGGGGCGGAGCCTGGCCACACATCGACCTGTCTGTCACTGACAGGTGCAATGTCATTGGAGCTTCCATAGTGGGATTTTGAAGGCTCCTCTTCTGTCTCCTCAGGGACCTTTCGGTTTTGTTTTTTATCACTTTTGCTGTCTCGTGGGCTTAAGTTTTGCAGTATTGACCTGCCGCAGCCGTCTGTGTGCTGGAAGCAGACTCGCCTTCAGCTTTGGAGTGATGGGATTTCAGGATATTTGCCTCGGCGAGCAACAGGAAGTGATCGCTTCGTTTCCTCAGCTGCTGTTCGAAGGCAATGCGGAAAGCATCCGCGACCATCGACGCCTCCTCCCTCCTCAAACGTTGGGAATCCAGCTGAACAACAAACACACACATAAACTCTCTCACTCAATGTGAAAAGGGTAAACAAATGGCCACTGTTCACACCGGCTCAAATAAAGAGAAGAAAGAGAGATTGTGAGAGGGTTTTGGCAGTTGCGGTCGTTCACCTCCTGCTGCAGCTGGACGAGCTGCTTCCTGCTGGCGGCGGCGGCGCGGCTGCACGGACAAGCCTCAGCAGCACCGACACACCGGCAGGCCCCCAGAACCGCAAGCTGGACACGCAACCAAGCAAGTCACTGACAAGTTATACTCAAGCGGAGCAGCATGGATTTGACGTCTTCAAACACAGATGCCTCGTCCCCAAATACTACACATTAGTATTTGGTTCATATTGTGCTGACATGGTGTGTAATAAAACAAATAATTACCAATACATATATTGGAATATTGTTCATTTTACTTTGAACATGAAAACATTTTAAGACGAGGCAAATTTCCGCCGTGACTTATTTACCTGTCTGTTCCCAACAACAGGAAGGGTAGAAAGCAACGTTTCATTTGACTAAGAAAAAGATCTGCCAAAGTCTTAAGAAGACGTGCACAGCGGTTTGGATGTAACACGGGGGAATGAAGGGAATGTCTGTCATGGTTTCGAGCTTCTCTCACCTCCAGAACGCTGGCGTCCCTCTCTGGGCTGGTTTGAAGTTGGCCTCCTTGGAAAGCTCTCTGCTCCTTCACACTCAGCATGGAGAGAAGCTCCAAGCACTGCCGACTGCAAGCTGCAAGCACAAACACACCTACTGGTCAGTGAAAGACGGCCAAATCACATCACTTCAGCTCTGTGAGAAGAAGAGGAATCTAGCAACGGCGTCTTGGCTTGAGACCCGCTGAGGGGGAGCTACATGAGGTTCGGTGACCTAAAGGTCATTCGACAGTATTCCTCAATTACCTGAATTCTCTGCTCGGAGCTGCAGGACAACGCGGCTGCTTTCCTCCAGGTTGTCACTCAGGTTCTTGTTCTCACTCAAAATTCTGAACAACAGCAACAAAAGTCATAAAGAACCGCGGACATGAGTGTGTGTGTGTGTGTGTGTGTGTGTGTGTGTGTGTGTGGAGTGAATCCAACCTGTTGCATTTCTCTTCCCAGGATTGCTGGGACTTCTTCATCTGGACCTGGTTGAAGCTGAGTTCCCACTGCAATCTGTTCACCTCCTGTGAGAGATGGAGGCGCCGACCACACCAGTCAAACGCGTTCTCACAAGCAGAGTTGATCATCATCCCATCATCCCATTGGCCAAGCCAAGGAGCGGCGTATGCGACGCATCGGGACCACATTGAATATACCAGGTTTTCAGATACTCGGATAGAAACACTGCACGGTGAACGCTGGGTGGAGGAGTACGCTTTCAATTTGGCCCGAAAAAAAGTAAACAAGCGATCCCTCTCACTCCTTTTCACATTTGTGGAGCGCCAAAATGTGGAAATAGTCACAAGAGCAAACGAGAGGAAGGTGTGACGATTGTTTGTTGGACATCGGATCTCGATGTGGACACGTATTAATGTGTAAGATTGGAATCACCATATTTCAATGAGCTTAACTACAATTATCATATAATACCACATGTGTTGGATTATATATATTAAGTTTGAATACAAGCATGGATATAAAGTTGCATATTAACAGTGATAAAATATATTCTATGATCTTCTATAAGATTGGTTTACTTAACCTACACTAGCATTGTGTTATACAGGTTCAATGGCAGCGTATCCATCAGGAAATTAATAATTAATAATGTAAATCGTGGCACACTTTTGAAATAAAATACTTTTGAACCATAATCATTAAATCATCACGGCAAAAGGCTCAAATCCAAGTGATGTGACACGTCTTTTTTTTAATCCTCTTGTAAGGATTAGTTGTATGTTACGTGTGGCTTACATGTGAAATGTGTCTAAATAAACATTTTTTCCTGAATGGTTTGTTCATTCCTGATACTGATACCGCTCACCAGCCGCGGCGTCACTGTGAGCAGTGAGCCGCCTCTTTGTGACCCCGTGTCCTGTGCGATCACGCTGGCGCATCAGAAACCTGCTGTTGGATGTTAAAGCAAACAGACCGATCCCTTATTTGAGCAGCCTCTGCTCACCTTCTCCAGAGCTTTGGCCTGCGCCTCGCTTTTCTGCAGCAGACTCTTAGTGTGACTCGTGGCTTTGTCAAGAATGGCCTGTGTGAAGAAGAGCGGTTCGTATTCAATGCAGGAACAACGGTCTTCCAAACGCGAGAGGACTGGTCTTCACAACCAGCCTCACTTTGACTTTGTTTCAGTAGAATAGAATATATTTACGTACATTATTCCAAACTGGATTTGAAGCGTCTTTTTGGTTTAACATTGACCCTACTTTCATAGTTTGGGCCGTCTATAGTTTTTTGGCCAATTGACCGCCGGAAACGGCAAGAAAAGAGTCAAAACTCCAGCAACACAGGGGCCCCCAACTGGGCCCCGCTCTAAGGGGTCCCAAGACGTGCTCAGTAAACCTTACAGGTTCACCATACAACCAGTTTGTGGCTGAGGATGAAGAACGCTGGTTGGAGACGACATACAGACTGATGAGAGATTCCTGGGCACGAGACAGCGGCTCTACCTTCCCCTGCAGGATCTTCAGAGCTTCGTATTTGCCTTCAATGTAGCGATGCGCCACCTCCAACTCGCAGCACAATACGTCGATCGCCTGTCAACAACAGCACAACCATCTCTTACCGTTCGCCCGGCCGAAAGCGGACGGCGTTATTTCAACTGCAGTTTGCCTTCTTACCTCAGTCGCTTCCCGTAGCCGGTCTCTGAGCTCTTCTTGGGACAGTTCCACTAGTGAGCCTGTTGATCCACAAAATAAACACATGTATCTTTATTATTAGGTGCATACATGAGTGTGATGCTTCCACTGTTCTTACCGCAGGGGGGCGGCTTCCAACGGGTTCCCAGCGGCGTCCCCGTGCTCTTCAGTCCGTGGATCCCGCCCGCCTCTCCCTCCGGTCCCAGCGTCTCCATTCGGGACAGAAGCGTCTCCGTCTGGCCGGTAAAGCCGTGGCTCTTGTTCTTCGGGGAGCTCGGTGCCGCTCCGACTCCCGTCCCGTCCCCAAGGTCCCCGTCCGCCATGTCATCGTCCAGGCTGCAGGCCTCAGCGGCCTCCTGCATCTGCCGCAGGCCAAACCCTGAACTTCCAGCACGGAGCTTCCACACCAGCCAGAGATACCGATTTGCTCAAATTTCCAATGTTAACTTACCTCGAGTATATTATTTGCCGGCCGCTGAAGATCCTTTCCACTTGTTTAATCCATCAACGGTGTCTCTGTGGTCCAGGACATCGTAGGGGTTAGGTCGTTTCTCATCTCATACGGGAACCGATTTATTGCTGTAGAAAACTTCCTCACCAGCCAGGGTGGAGAGAACTGGTTTCAACAGAACACGTGTTAGAAACATGTCAACAGCGAGTCCCGTTACGAAGCACAACATCTGCTAACCAGCGGTTTGTGGAGCGAACAACAGTGATGTGTTCTTCCTGTTTGGTCGTCCGTGCAGCACTTGATGGATGACCTTCCCCGGAGGAATCTCAAATGTACGACTAGTACTACGACTACAATGAAGCTCAAAACAGTCTCCCATTTGTCTGCAGAGAGGAGTTCAAGTCCACAAACATCGATTGAACTCTCGTCACCTGTTGACATGCTGGAGTTCATTTAGTTGGTGTTTCTGTTCTTAGCAGAGATCTGACAGAAGGGTTAACGGAGCACGACGGTTCCAATCTGTGACCCACAGAAGAGTTTCTTTAGTCACACGATGCATTTCTATATCTATTTATGAATCATCAACAAACTGTTATTTACACAATGGTACAGGTTTCAGTAACAATCCAGCTGGTTCGGGCTCCTCTTTGTCGATTGATTGGACTTTTTGGTCTTAAGTCAAAGAAATATTTACTTAATAGATCTTTACTAAGTCGATTTTATTTCCACTTTGTTTTATTACTTGTGCACTGTCGTCTTGTCTGTCTACTGTCGCGCACTAACCGCCAAGACAAATTGCTTGTATGTTTGACATATTTTGGCTAATAAATGTTTCCTGATTCCTGATTATCTTTTTATGCTGAATTACTTATTTGCATTAAACTTTTTACAGTGGTGCTTCGTAGAAAGCCTGATTGTTTTAAACATCTGTCCATTAAATAAACTCTACGCAGACTTTCTTTACTTTGAACAAGGCCTCATCACGGTGACTTCCATCGTTTTTAGTCTCCCCTGTTCATCAAGGGAACTTCACGAAACAGCAAATCCAGAATTAAACCTGATTCGTTAGAGAGAATCTCATTAAATGTAATTTCTAATGAATGACTTCCTCTTACCTGAAACTTTCTAACAGGTATATTTATATTCGTCAAGGTTTGACTCCCCTGCTGCGACGAGCTAGAAGCAGCCAGGCGACTCATCACTGAAAAATAAAATCCATACACGGTTTAATTCCACAAAGCACGATGCTAGTTTCCTCTCCAGGCAACACCGCAGCCAAATAATAAAAAGCAGCGTAAAGCTGAGCCACGTCCAAACCAGGAGTTTAAAGAGGTGGAGTCATTTCTCCAGTTGAAGTCGATCACCAGAGGGGAATATTTAAGAAGAGCCTCGGGTGAAACTGCTGAGCAAATATTAGATGAAGGCGTGTGTGAAAGGATGAAGGCGTGTGTGAACGGATGAAGGCGTGTGTGAAAGGATGAAGGCGTGTGTGAACGGATGAAGGCGTGTGTGAAAGGATGAAGGCGTGTGTGAACGGATGAAGGCGTGTGTGAAAGGAAAGTGTTGCAATCAGATAGCGATACACTTTTCACAAATTGGGTTTTATTCACTTGCTTATTCAGATTAAAAAAAAAACGTATATCTCAATGAGCATATGTTGGGAATCTTTGTCCATCCATGGAAGATAGAAAAATAACTGGCACACTGGATGACAAACATAAGTCACTCTGCCAAAAACATAAATCTGTGAGGTACAGAGAAAACAAGTCACAACAAATAAATACTGACAACATTCTATCGGAGCTTCAGAAGCAACACTCGAGCTCCACGAAGATCCTTTGCATCTCAATCCCTCACCCGGTGTCACCTTGAATTCTGCAAGAAAACGTTGTTTGTCTCCCAAGTCCACAATGAAATGAGAATTTTAAAAAAAATGGAAAGAAACATCTCGCTCAATCGGAACAAATGGATGGGGGGGGGCTGCATTTAACAAGTGCCGAATCATATTAAAACAACAGTTTTCTAGTGTTAAACATTAAGGGCTTATTGAGGGAGAAGTTAGTCAAGGAGTTCCTTCAGGTTTTGATTGTTTAACTGGCGTGGAGACATTTGAGGAAAAAAACAAGTTCTCTTCCGCCGTAACAGGTAGTTTGTATCGATGTACAAATGATCGTTTCTGGGTTGGAGTATTTCTTATTATTTCCATGGATGCCCGTGCCTCCATATGATCAGGAGCCCGTATCGAGCCGGGGATCACATTTAATCCAGGTTCAAATTCTCTCTCACGCGGCGCTCCGTCCCGAGCCGGAAGTCCAAACCACAGAACTAAAGTTGACGATGTGGGACAGAGTGAGATATGGCCGAGTTGATGGCGTCAGTCACTGTTGTAGTCCTCTATCATCACTTCCTCCTCCTCCAAGAGGACCTGGGTTGTGGTCGGTTGGGGCTGACTGGCCGACAGACCCTCCTCCACCCCACACTTACTGTCCTCTTCGTCCTCGCTGTCCTTGTCCAGCAGCGCCGGCTCTTTGTCCGTCAGAGCCTCCAGCTTTAATCTGCCCAAGAAGCAAACGGAGATAGCGGTCTAGTGCACGGTGTCTGTGTGAAGTTGAATGACAGGCGGAAGTCTGGGTGAAACCCTCCATGTTAGGAGGAAACAACCCTTACAGGAAGAGAAAAATGTGTGCTGTACCTGCCGGGGAACCTCCTCAGCGACATCTGGCCCACGTCCTGGATGAAGGCTATCTGAGCTGGGAGACGGCGTAGCACAGAGCATTCGACCGTCAGTGAGTCCTCAGAACTATCAGTTGCTTAAATGAGTTCAAAGCTCCGTTTGCTGTGCCGAGCTGTCTGATCATCACAGTAAATGACTTAAGGGTCATAAAAGCCCATTATTACCTTTGACAACACAGATGTGAAGGAAGCAATACAGTAAGTCACCACAAAATGAAAGCACAATTGGAATATTTGGAAGCATTCATATTTGGGGCTAACAACACGTTTGACTTTCATACATGACGTGGATGTCCAGTGGCCCAACCACAACCACGGCACTATGCACATGTGTGTCTGTTACCTTGGTTCCTCATGGGGTTGGTGAGTTTGGCGAGGTACGGCAGCAGCTCCGTCTGCAGGCTGACGGGCGTCAGACAGAAGCTCCTGAACAGCGACTGGGCCGCCAGGCAGTTCTCACGGTGCTGACGGGACGGAAGGGCAGAGTCATTGCTGTCTCGTCTACCTTTAGAGACTAAATGGACCGTCATTTAGTAATTAAACATCACGCTGGATTACTCGCAGAAACCAAAGAAGGAAAAATCCCCCGGCCAAGTTTGCGTTGGGTAAACCGGGACGGGAGGGGTTTCAAACCGCCCAGAGCTTCCGTGGTGTCAGCGTAGCAGCGCGGTGGTGACAGGGGGAGCCTGCGCACCCAAAGGAGACAACTTCCACCGTGCTGCCGTGTGAATCTCCTCAATGACCCTTCTTACATTAAAACACTAATTTACAGAAATATATAGCCATACAATTATGCATTATCGATCTTCTTCTAGTGAGACTTTTGAATAGTATTTGATTCTACAATTATTTCAATATTTTTAATTATTTTAAACAATTGTCAGTGTATTGTGGAGGGGGTTTTAACTCCATTTAAATGGTGAAATCCTGTTTTGTATAACGACAATAATCAATAATTGAAATGTCAAATATGTGCCTGTTTGAGAATATTTCTTTCAACCGTGTGCCATTAAACCGCCGCTCAGCTGGGACACGCCTCACCTTCTTGTTGACCAGCAGCCAGTTGGGTTTGTGCAGCGGCCTGAAGCCCACAGAGACCTGCTGGGAGTTGGAGTGGAGGAGGCCCCTGGTGGCCACCGAAGAGCCGTACTGCCCCATGGTGCTGCGACTCTGGCACATGGAGATACACAGCAACTTCTTAAGTACATTTCCAGGGATTCAGTATTTCGGATTACATTTCAGTGCCAGGAGAAAGACTAACCGCCCAATCAGAAGTGAGGAGGTCGGCGTCGGACAGATACTCGCTGGCGCGATCCACGTCCTCCACCTCGGAGAAGAAGTCCAGGTAGTTCTGATGGAGGTACAGGTTGAAGAACTCTCCCGACATGTGCGAACGCTCAACCACCGACTGACCGAGGAGACATGGACAGCAGAGATCTCAGCGTCTCAAACATCACATAGATGTGTTACCTGTTAATAATACTAGGAGAGGGGGGGTCAGGTGTTCACCTCGGGTTCCACAAGCAATGCTTCTCTGTGATGATGAGCCAGGTGAGCCGGTAGACCGGCTCCAGGGACACATTCAGCTGCTTCGGCATCCTCGGGTTTCCCTCCTGTTGGTCACAGACGGCCAAAGGACACAAATCATTCGGCGGTGTGTCACTTTCAATCCCTGAAGTCAGAGAGACTGACTCCAAGCTTTATCACACACGGGAAACTCTCCCTCAGGTGGTCCTCGTAAGCCAAATGACTGAATGGACTGAAAACTGAACTTTTTATGGTGCAAAAGTGGGAGTCGGGTGACACACACATTTCTATATCGGGCTCATTTAGTTGATTGCAGATCCTTTTTGCTGCAATCACACCTTTAAAAGAATTACGTATTCTGAAAAATCACATCAAAAGACCAAAACCAACATGGTCTTAGACTTGATGTCTGCACCCCGTCTGCAGCTCACAGAGCCAACTGGGATTATCTCTACTGACCAGCCAACGTTTGTTAGTTTAAGGTCTCAATCTCTAGTTTCAAGTCTTCTTCAATGCTGCATGATGTTCATTTAGTAAATGATGGTCCATTTAGAGTCAAACGGGCCGTGGCTACCTTGTGATTGACCAGTTGCTACCATGACTCCCTTGTACTAAAAGACAGAGGGTGAGAACATGTTCAGTTAAGTCCGTTTTACACAAGTCAAAAAACAAAATTAGCATCGAAGGAGGAGGAAGCGTGAATTATGGAAGCCCATTGTGAGCAAAGCTTGGACCTGGAATCTGCCCCCCTCTTTCCTAATAGGGTCACTTCTGGTTCCAAAAACGTGTCGAATGGCCAAAAAGTCAAACTCAAGGCTCCAGTAATCGATGGGTGATTTCACGCCCACTTCTTATGCACTCCATCACTCATAGTCACCACTTTTTAGCAGATGGGGCGATAGTTTGCTGGGGACTATTACACAAATGATGTGCTCCATTGAGCCTTCCTGGCAGCAGGATGGTGTGAGGCAATTGAGGCAAAACAAACGGCAGTGTGTTGTCATGGTGATGAAGGAAGACATCAACCACTTTCAAAAGGCTTGGCTCAATTATGGGGCTTTTCGGTTTACGCAGGAAAACGATCAGGCACTGACGCGATACTCGTCGGTACGACTCACGTTTGCAGTGCAGGATCTTCCCCAGTGCCCTGAACAGAAACAGGGAAGCATCTTTCCCTCCAATGGGCTGCTCCTCCTTGTGCTCCTTTGTCAGTTTGGACTTCTTCCTCCTCTGGTTCGTTCTGGAAACGGCTTTGCTCAGCGAAGTCCCATGTCTGTCCTTCTTTAGCCTCCACATCCCCGCTTCCAACGACGTGTCTGGAAAGTTACACTGACGTTAGACGCCCTTTGATGTCAGCGGACGAGACCGGGCAACGACATGAGTACAAAGGTAGCTCATATTTAAAAAAGGTGCCGATGTGAGACCTGGGAGGGAGGAGAACTGGAGGCTGTTGATGGCGCTGCGGATATCTCCAGAGCTTCCTGAACACAGCGTCTCCAACACGGCCGGGTCGGTGACGCACATCCGCCCGCAGCTCTGCTCGGAGTTATGGAGAAAATATGCACTGCAGAAATCACGTCGAACAAAAAACAGAAAATTTCCAAATACGTGTGATGAAGTTGGGACGATTCCGCTCACCTTTCCTGCCTCTGCCGCTGAAATTCGACTCAGGACCTTTATCATTGTGGTTGGAGCCACGGGGTTAAAACTGAAAACACACAAGAAGATGTTCAGGGGAATCCAGAGGGTTTTGAGGGTCACTTTCACATTGCAGTTTGTTTTTTTCCTTATTTCCTGCGGTCCTGCAGATACTTCACAGTGTTTTCCCTACCATTATTACAGGGGGTACCCCCCCACCCCCCCAGAAAAGTGTGCAATGCAATGCAATAACTATTTGAGCCACTGATATATAATGCTTGGGAAAGAAGTGCAGAAGTTGAGTGATGGGTTTCGTGTAAACAAAGCCAACCTGATGTTGCTGATGTTCAGCTCCTCCTGGATCTCTCGGGGAAACAGGAAGCGCGAGCTGCTGTCTCCGCTCAGACTGTCCGACACGACGCACACCAGGGGACACCGGCCCGTCTTCACAAAGCGCCTGGAGGACACGATGTCACACATCAGATCCGAGGACGGACAGGCCGAGCTCTCTGGCCTGGAGCTGTTCCGCCATTTTTACTTTATAGTTGTATAGTATATTCACATGCATCTGTGCACAAATTATTTTTTTTATAGAAAACCATATACAAGCGATGCTGTGATCTCACCTCAGGATGTCGTGCAGGCCGCCGGGCTGTCTGTAGAACAGGTTTGGGAAATCCTGAAGAGGAACAAGTGGTGACCAAGTGTTAACTGTACAGTCGAACATGGAAGCTGAAGAACATCATTTCTGGCTCCAATCAGCCGTTTGAATTAACCAACCATTGCTTGCGTCATTCTACACAGCATCTTGGTGACAGCGGTTCTCCTAAATATTACATTAGCAACAGTGATGAAATATCTTGCATTGTATTTATTTGTTTGCTTTTTTAAATTACAAATTGAAAGTTCATCTACATCCGTTTTAGAAGACGAAGTTTTTATCTCACAGGAATTCTTTTTTATTTTGGTTTGTTTTTAACACAATCGTTTCATCAGTCATAACGGTACCAGAAAACCACCAGCGCCATCTAGTGGACAGAAGCTCAACAGATTTTGGTTTTATTTGCCATATTATTAGTTCACAGAATAAGAGATAGATTCCTCCGTCCGTGTGTCAATACAGTACATGGACCACCCAGCGAGAAGTAGCACAAACCTCCACCAGGATGAGCTTCCTCTCTGTGGCCTCTCCGTCCCCCACCATCTGCAGGCAGTTGTACTTGTTGGCTCGCAGGAGGAAGTCCTGGAACTGGACCAGCTGGGAGCTGCAAGACGAGCCGTTCGTCCTCCAGTCTGCTGGAAGACGGAGAATCAGAGACGGCACACAGACAGACACCTTCCCAAAAAAAACATTCATCCCAGCGCTCAAGATGTCAAACATTTGGACTTTCACAAGTCAAATTTCCTCTACAGAATGATCGCTCAACTTAGTAATTACTACTAAAAAGGTGTACTTTACTTGTGCCGATGTACACGGGCACGCTGCAAATATGAAGACTATTTTAAATGGTCTAAACTTTTGATTCGTTATTGTTGGCCCTGGTTGGTAGATTTATATTGAAAACAAGCGGTCTGAGCATTTAACCATCAACGTTTAAAGGGGGGGTTGATAGTGGGACGCCTCCTCACCGTGCTGGCCGCTGCCGTACGGCTCCAGGTTGGAGGGGTTGGTCCACTCCTGAACCCGGAGGCCCAGCTCCAGAGACAGAACGCGGACCGTGGCGGTCTTGCCGCAGCCCGACGGTCCCGTCAGCAGCAGGACGCCTCCCTGCGGAGGACAGAGCCGAGCTCAACCAGAACCTTTCAGTCCTCACTGTCCTCACCACAAAAAGGCCTCACAAACCCTTTGAGGAGACGACGGCTTCGGATACTGAGATCCACAAACTTTGTTCTTACCTTGTGTGCGTTGAGGTGCACTCTCAACCAGTTCTCCACTTCCTCGATCTTCTTCTTGTGGACAGCGAGCTCGACCTACGCAAACACATAAATCATTGCTACAAACCACGAGGTTTATTCTGGGGACTCGTAGCATAATTGCTGCCTTCGGCCTCCAAACTCTTTGACATTTATTCATCGGATTTTTGGCTAAACGCCTGAAATAAAGTTTGTCGTTCACAGAGACTGAACAGATTGACTGAGTTTTTACATCAGTAAATGATTGTTCTTAGACTAAAATGACACAAATAAATGTCATCACTAGAGAACTGTTCCTTTGGTGATGTGGTCACTTGGCGTAAGTCCATTACAGACTGACTTCTTACTGCTGACGCGTTCACCATAATCATAAACTGGGATGCGGCTTGTGAAGATTATTTTGTTTGAAAGTGACATCAGTGTTTGTTTTTCCCAGAGCAGATTTCCTTCAGTAACCCAAAAGACGATGGAAAAGTGCCGCTGGCTTTTAGTGAAGGGAACCAGCGGGATGCTAACGTCCTGGTCTGCAAACAAAAACACTTCTTTTCTCTTTCAAAAGAATTATTTACAGTTAGCCAAAAGCATATTTGTGTTTCCTCCATGAATGGTTTCTTAACTAGTTATTTTCAGAAAAGGGACTGTATCAAAGATATTTATCAAAAGTAATGGCTTAAACTATGTAGAATGCTCTTTAAAAAATGTAAGTGACAAGTTCTCCCATGTTTCGTCTCCCTCGCTGCTTTGAATTGGGGTAATAGAACCTACGGACACGTGAGGCTACGTGATTCAGACCAGTTGTCGTGGTTTCTAAAATGTGCTGATGGGTACCATAAATGAACGTCCAAAGCGGTGATGCTGACCTGTGAACGCGGCGTGTATCTGTCCACCCACGGCTCATCTTGCTCCCCAGGGGCCGACTCTTTCAGAAGTTGGGACGCGGGAGCGTCCGAGCTGCGGGACTCGCCTGTCCTCTTCCTGGGCTTCTTGGACTCAGCCTTGGACGGCAAAGCCCGACAGCCCTTTTTCTGTCTGGGCGGAGCGAAGCTTTCCCCCGGCAAGTCGGCGAAGGACTGATCCACCCAGCGGTTCAGCTAATAAAAAAATACTTTTATTAAAGATGCATGAGGGACAACTGAAGGAGGGTCTACAATCAGTACAGGAAACAATGTTTTCAATGTTTCAATATATATAAATAAAATTAGGACAGCAAACAGCTAAACATTTTTATTTTGTTGTATATTTAAATATTGCTGTTACAGTGCGTTGATGCTTTAACTCGCTTGCACACAAGCGCTTGTTTTAGAGAAAAACCGAGAAGCAAATGAAGTTGTCTGGCTGTGGGGAGGAAAGTTTAGCTGACCCGTCGACATTAGTAACAAACAAACAAACAAACCATAGATTCAGCCAACGAAGAACCAGATAATACAGAAGCAGGAACTAAAAGAACCGTGTGTGTTTGTGTTGTACGGAAAACTATACAGCAAAGCCTGAACCGAATGCGCATAGCACGTGTACACGTGACTTATTGAGCTGGCATAAATAACTGCATCGTATCACTCAAAATACAAAAGGTATAAACTATATTTTAGTTATAGCGATGTTAAACGTGCCACGGTGAACACGTGAGGTCACGTTAGCGTTAAAGGGAACTCACTCGGCTTGGAGCCGCTCTCTCTCCCTCGGACAGGTTCTCCATCCTGCGGTGCTGCTCCTCATGGAGGGTCGCAGTGCGGCCAGATGTTGCTGCTGATGTTTTCAGGCTGAGGGAACACAGGGCAGAACGAGCGGCGCGGTTACCTCAGCATGCAGAGGCGTCTTGTGGTCTTTAGCTTAGCATGTCTCTTGTTATTGTGCATGCTAATTCTGCATAAAGATGAAGTTAACTAGAAGTTATCCGCGAAGGGGCAGTTCTTTGGACTCTATTTCTGTGTCTCCGGGTGATGCACCGACGCGTCCACTTGTCAGCTACATGACTGACGGGGCTCGTTAGCTAACGGTTCCTAACTCGGTCAGTTCACGTGAAGCTAGAATGATAACTTAGCGTTACATGTTGGGTCTTACCTGGTCGGACCGGCGCTTCGCTCTCCGGCTGCGGGGCAGCGAGGCCGCTTGGGGAGGAACAGAGCTCCGCGAGCAAAGAGGCCGAGTCAACTTTACCTGCTTTAAACTCCGGGGAGTCGGCGTGCCGCAAACTGGCCGCTCGGTGGCGTAAAACTGACGCGAAGCTGTTCACTGGCGGCAGTGTTTCGTTGAAAGTCTCCCTCGAGCTGGTCGCGTTCAGCCAGCTAGCTTTCCGCTCTGTCGCAGTTCGCGTGTTTCAGGTTTGTTCGTTGACATTTGGCCTCGGGACTGTCCGGAAGTGTCTCGAGGGGCAGTAAGCGATAATGGGACATGTCTGTCTTTCAGGTGAACGTCGTCCGGACACGTGTTGGCCGCCAGCGGAGCTATGAAGATGAGGAAGCGACCGAACATCCTGCTAACAGGTGATGGGACCTGCGTGTCTTTCAGCCCACGTTCGGTCCCCGCGCGTGCGACCGTTTCTGGGCACGAGTGCGTGATCATCAGACGCTAAAGTCATTGGTGCTGCTCACCTGATCAAAACTCCCACATGCATCACCTCACTTTTAAAATAGGGCGATACTGAATATGTAATGTGGGTCTGTTTAATTAGGTCTCGAATATTTATCCTCGTTTTTTAAAATTGCGATTGAATTTTTTGTCTATTTATTAGTTTTATTTTTGTTTGTTTTTTTGTCCTTTATTCTATATAAATGTCGTATTTTCTTTACGTTTTCTCTATAAATAAAAGTGAATAAAATAAAGTTAAAATGATGATGTATCCTACCTGTCAGTCACCAATATGACAAAGCAAATTCCTTGGATGTCAAAATGTGGATTTTTTTTTTGTGTCCTTTATTCTATATAAATGTCGTATTTTCTTTACGTTTTCTCTTTAAATGAAAGTGAATAAAAATAAAGTTAAAATGATGATGCATCCTACCTGTCAGTCACCAATATGACAAAGCAAATTCCTTGGATGTGAAAACGTGGAGTTTCCTAAATCTTTATGCAGGTACCCCGGGTGTTGGAAAGACCACATTGGGGAAGGAGCTGGCCCAGCGGACAGGACTGACCTACGTCAACATAGGAGACCTGGCGAAGGAGGGTAAACACTTTTAACAAGACTTTTACAGAGCCGACTGGAAACCAGCGAGCTATTCTTTATTCTTCCGTTTGCTCTTGAACATGGTAAATATGTCAGATGTCCTACGCCAGTTCTAAACAATGCTCTTGATTTCGTCCCCCAGGTCAGCTTTATGACGGCTATGACGAGGAGTACCAGTGCCCAATTTTGGACGAGGACGGGGTGAGTTGAATCCCACATGCCTGGTGCTGATATGTGAATATTTCTACGTCTCGGATGCACAACCATATTATTTTTCTGCGACTGCGCTTCACTCAGCCAGGAGGAGTCTGCTGCACTTAATCCAATCCCCACGATTCCCTTTTCTATTACAGAATGTATTCTGTATGACTTTCTGTGACCCACCCCCCATCCCCCAGGTGGTGGATGAGCTGGATGAAAAGATGGTCGAAGGCGGCATGATCATCGACTATCACGGCTGCGACCTGTTCCCTGAGCGCTGGTTCCACATCGTCTTCGTCCTGCGCACGGACAACACCCAGCTGTACACGCGGCTGGAGGACAGGTAAACCCGTCTCCACCAAGACCCTCGGCGACCGTCGCCATGAACCAGCGGCACCCTGGTTTTGGGCTTTTGGTTTGCACTTTTTTTTAAAGGTTAAAGGTTCCAGGATGGTCGACTGGCTGGTGGAGGCCACTCATGTTTTAGTGGCAGTGTCGTAGTTGAGGCGCTGCTAGTCTTTTCCAACTGGACCAAGAAACCAACTGACACCTGGTTTTTGATGAGAAAATGAAGTGAATATATGATGGATAAAGAAAGAGAATGTGGTCTTCTACTACCTTACTCCCACAAGACTAAGACAGAAACTGTAATCTACATTGCTGATCGTTGTAAAAACTCGTAAACCGTTTTGAGTCTTTGCTCATCATTGTCAGGCGTATTTTTGTGCATTAATTCTGGTGGAAAAAGGGGAATTGGTTTGCCGCTCCTTCAAAGTAAAGTGTCGCGTGTGCTGACTCTCCCCACCAGCACATCGCCTTTGCGGCACAACTGTGTGGCACTTTTAATCCGCCCGTTCCTTGATAGTTCAGAAATGTGTTTTAGTTGGGCTAAAGAAGAAGTTTTTAGTTCTCAAGTCAGCAAATATTGGTCTGAATTTATACTTTTCTATAATCCATTTAATACGTTATTTCTGGAAGGAATCTTTCTGATAATTCGTTTTACAGAATTTTGATCAGTTCAGGTTTTCAAAAGCAATACTTGAGATTAATCATAAAAAATACTACTGAAGAAACTTTTCTGCTCCATAAATCCTGCCCACCACCCACACTTGATAGTCTAACCCCTAAAAGTTTCCTAAGCGACATCCTTTACCATAAAAGTAAGTGAAACACTCCCCTCGTGAACCAAGTAGTCACTGTTTGTTTCCCCCTCCCGCCTGACGTGGACTCTGACCTCTTGTGTGACCCCCCCCAGGGGCTACACGGGGAAGAAGCTGCAGGACAACGTGCAGTGCGAGATCTTCCAGACCATCTACGAGGAGGCCAGGGAGGCCTACAGCGAGGAGATCGTCCACCAGCTGCCCAGCGACACCCCCGAGGACCTGGAGCGCAACCTGGAGCAGCTGGTTCAGTGGACCGAGCAGTGGATGAAGGACAACAACTAGATGCCCCCCTCTGGCCGGGCCGGGGGCCGCCGGCTGGACTGTCACAACCATATTATGACAAAGAAAAAAAATCACCCGTCACGGGACTTTAATCCATTGCAGATTAGTGTTAATCAAAGCACTCGTGGTGCTGCATTCATGTCGTCATTTTTTGTAAATAAATGGCCACTGGGGAACACTAGCGTTGCCCTAGTGAGAACTACACGGCTGCTGGGGTTCTGTTTCCATGTCTAAAGCACAGACGTCATCGTGGTGTTACCCGTTGGTGGACGGACGTTATGAAGCCTCTTCTAGGCACAAATCACACTACACATAAAGCATAATTTGTGCCAACAATTTGTGCCATTTACACATCTTTCAGGAGTCAATATAGTAGACGGGGAACTTCACGTACTGTGAAGCGCTGCGATACCTGTACCATCAGACAAAGTACCTTTTGAATGCCCCTGCTGGTCTGTTCATCCTCTCCAGCATTTCCAATTAGTTTTTTTTATTTAACTTTCTCGATTCCTAATATCAAAACCTGCTTCAAGAACTTTCTGTTTTAGGATAATAGTCTAATGTTCTGTTAAGTCAAATCACTGAATGTGTTGTTTCTTGTAGATCTGTTGATCAGCACACAGTTCAAAATAGAATAAAATATGCCCACTCTTCTAAGCAGGAGAAGGCAATACTGTGTGGCAATACTGTGAGATTGTTATCTAGACGGTCAAACAGATGCTGGTTAAAGTCCCACAGATGAGCGATCTCCCTTTTTGGTTGAACTGCGGCGCATATAAATAAAGACTAGACTGTATCCATCGAGTGCTGTAAAGAAAAGACAGGAACTCAATGGAATGACCTTTTAGACCAAACACCAGGTGGAAGCCACACCTGTGCACACTTCTTTGTCATCACACGGCTGTGTGTGTCCCCGCATGCAGTGAGGCTGTTGACTGCACGATGTCCAGCTGTTCTCGCAGGGACACGGTAGGTACATTAAGTCCGGACCAGATGGTTCTGGTGACGCAATGACAACGCTTTCATATAAAGTTTTGTTGGAGACTTCATTGAACCGTTCTACAAAGGCCACTTGTGTCGCCGTAGTCTGTGTTGTTTACATACAACGTAACGTCTATTTATTTGTTGACCAGGAGAAGAAACTTATGGAAAAGGTAAATCAGATCATATTTATGTTTTTACTAATTGATTGAAGGGATTTAACGTTGCGCTGTTACGTTTCTGGTTAAAGAGGATGACGTACCCTTTGCGGACAAAAACAACTTCCGTACCGGTTTCATGTTTTCAAAATAAAAGTTATTGATTACATGAACAGTATTCATTCAAAGTTAATAATCAAGACACCTTTCGTGTATATATTGCTTCGCTGCTAAATAACGGGACTGAGCAAAAATAATAGATAGTTTTAATCATGATATATATATACACTCATGAACCGTGTTTGCAAGAGATGATTCAACTAAAATATGTCTTGACTCCCCACTTTACAGTTGTAAAGATGTACATTGTAGAGTACATCGCGCGTCTTATTTTGAAGTCTGTCCTGTCGCCGGCAGAGGGCGTCGTCTCCCGGTAAAGTCTCCTGCGGACTGCGCCGATGCGCGTTGCTTGTCGGAAGTACCGGTTCCACCGTTTCGTGTCCTCTCGGGAGACGTATGGACAGGCGCGTGTAGCAGGATGGGTAAGACTTCATGTCCGTCGGTAAAAGCGACCACGCTGTCGTTCCAGCGGCCAACGCGTCGGTATCGCGTTAACGGGGAAGCGAGGGAGAGGGCAGATTAAGCCGGCGAATAGAAGCGGTGTCGTCTTTAAAACACCCCGTTAATAGTTCAGGTGGGAGGAAAACACGTGGGACTCACCGGGTCGTCTTTGTCCCCACGTGTAACGTGTCCGTGACCAACATCACCGCTCGGAAGAGCGTCACGTTGTGTAATCCGTGTAATCTGTAATTGTGAGTCATGGCCGGCTGCGTGAGGCTGCTGCATCCGAGATGTTTCCAAGATGTTACCGATCCGCTCCGGGTCATGTCTCCAGTCCACTACTGTACTCTGGGACATGTCTCCAGTCCACTACTGTACTCCGGGACATGTCTCCAGTCCACTACTGTACTCCGAGACATGTCTCCAGTCCACTACATGTCTCTAGTCCACTACTGTACTCTGGGTCATGTCTCCAGTCCACTACTGTACTCCGAGACATGTCTCCAGTCCACTACTGTACTCTGGGTCATATCTCAGTCCACCACTGTACTCTGGGACATGTCTCCAGTCCACCACTGTACTCCGGGACATGTCTCTAGTCCACCACTGTACTCTGGGACATGTCTCCAGTCCACCACTGTACTCTGGGACATGTCTCTAGCCCACTACTGTACTCCGGGTCATGTCTCCAGTCCACTACTGTACTCTGAGACATGTCTCCAGTCCACTACTGTACTCCGAGACATGTCTCCAGTCCACTACATGTCTCTAGTCCACTACTGTACTCTGGGTCATGTCTCTAGTCCACTACTGTACTCTGGGTCATGTCTCCAGTCCACTACTGTACTCTGGGACATGTCTCTAGTCCACTACTGTATTCCGGGACATGTCTCTAGTCCACTACTGTACTCTGGGTCATGTCTCCAGTCCACTACTGTACTCTGGGACATGTCTCTAGTCCACTACTGTATTCCGGGACATGTCTCTAGTCCACTACTGTACTCTGGGACATGTCTCCAGTCCACTACTGTACTCTGGGACATGTCTCCAGTCCACCACTGTACTCCGCGACATGTCTCCAGTCCACCACTGTACTCCGCGACATGTCTCCAGTCCACCACTGTACTCTGGGACATGTCTCTTTTGTTCTTAATTTGCATGAAACGTCATGGGATAATTATTAATTTGAATAACATTTTATTTAAAATCACCCGGAAACTTCCCCCAGCTGATTTGTTAATTCAATCAATTAATTATTTTTTCTCTTCCTTTCTTAACATAGAAATGAAGGCTAACCTCTATTTACCAAATATGGGCTCATTTGCTTACATTGTAGAAGAATCGGTTCTAAATCGTTTTTCTTTTACTTTCAGAATTTTTGGCTGTATATTTCTTTCACTCCACTGGTGTTACTATTCTGTCTGCAGCAATAATGAAAAAAGGTTTTCTATTAATCAGTTATGAGTAAATATCCAAGTGAGCAATTATTTCATCAGCACCTTTGGTGAATTCTGTAGAAATTAAAAAACTGACCAATCAAAATTGAGCTCATGAATATTAAACACAATCACAATTCTTGATTTCCCCTAATTCACAGCATAATTCCACTGTAAAAAAAGTGTTACAATATCATAATACATAAAGTAAAAACAAATAAAATGAGCACATACGGTAAACTATGTTGTCATTTCTGTGCACTTCCACAACCTGCAGAAGGCTAATAAATCCAAGTATAAAACATTCAAAAATGCATCAGACCAATACAAGTTTGATCAAATATAGAAATAATAACCAAACTCCTAAATATATATTCAACATTTTGCCCAACACATTCCAGTCTGTAAAGAAAGGGTGCGCTTGATTTACAACATGGGACAAAACTGTGATGTTTTCATCTCAATCTTCTTGCTTTGGTTCTCGTTGGACGCCAGAATAATGATTGAAAAAAATGATTTGAGTAATCCACTCGACACCTGCAGGCTCAGTGGGGCCTTCAGGTTCCTGCGGCTTCTCCCTGTTTTATAAGAACCTACATTATCTTCTCTGTTATAATAACCTCCAGTGTCTCAGGCCACAGCTGGCCGCCCTCATGATGCGTGACTATCGTTTTGTGCGTGTGTGTCCATAGAGAGCAGCAATAATGCCTCAGCCCAGAGTGATGCTAGTGGTGACGGGAGATGATTTTGGCTACTGCTCCAGGAGGAACCAGGGGATCGTGGACTGCTTCCAGGCTGGAGGCATTTCCAATGTGTCGCTGCTGGTTAACGCCTGTGCTGCCAAAGAAGCAGCGGACCTGGCAAAAAGGTGGCCGATTTAAAAAAATAAGTACCGTTGAGGCTTCAGGTAAAGAGTAAAGACTGGCGGGGGTGATGGTTTTTACTGCCTCACATGACTGTGCCAATAGCATTCTGATGCCAGTTTAGTAAACGAGCGGCGAGTACGCATCAATGCACCATTCTGAGGAGTGCTAAAACTGACAGTTTCTCTGTGTCAGGCACGGCATTCCCATCGGCCTCCACGCCAACCTGTCCGAAGGCGTTCCGGTGTGTCAGCAGGCCTCCACACTGACCAACCAGCACGGCTTCTTCCGTGGGAAGATGGGCTTCCGTCAGGCCCTGGAGAGGGGTCAGCTCGGCATGTGGCAGGTACACTGACCCTTCCCACGCCTCATTGGCGATCATCTTCGTCATTGTGTGTTCATTGCGCATGCTCCATTAAGATTTAGGGGAAAATACGAGCTGAAGCTCATGCTTTGTTTAATCCGAAACCGTGAATTCACCCGTCTATAGCCACCGTCGCATGTTGGCTGGAGGCAAAAGAAAGAAACCACAAAGACAACACAAACTTCACTCTGGCAAAAACAAGTCTAAAGGTCCACTGCAGGGACAACCACCGTCAGATCCACAAAAGCCTGTGGGGAGGGAAAGCACAAAGACTTTAGGAAAGGGTAATGTTGGTTTATGACAGTAATAATAATATGGTTAATATTTCAAATGATGATGATAGGAGTAGCAGGTGTCAGCAGGGCCACGGTAGGTGGCAGGAACAGGGTTCAGATTGAACCATGATCCATTGAAACTATGAGGCAAGAAAGCACAAATACTTGAAAGAAAAAGTTAGTGATGCGCATTAATGTTTACAGCAATAGAAATGGGAATATCAATGGTGTTGGAAGTGGCAGGTGTCCACGAGCCAGGCAGGAGTCAGGACCAGGGGGAGAAGCTGAATTAGTCATGTGCATTAATAAAACGTGGATTATTGTAGAAGGTGAAAGTGAGAGAGGAGCTCGGTGTGTCCTAAGAAGTCCCTCGGCAGTCTAAGCCTATAGCAGCTTAACTAAGGGCTGGTCCGGGCTAACCGGAGCCAGCCCTAACTATAAGCAACATCAAAGAGGACAGTTCTAAGTTTTACTTTAAAAAAGCTGACTGAATCTGCCCCCGGACTGAAAGTGGAACCTGGTTCCACAAAAGAGGAGCTTGATAACTGAAGGCTCTGGCCCCCAGCCTGCTTTTTAAAACCATAGGAACAACAAGTAACCCAGCATCTATGGAGCGCAGCTGCCTTGTAGGGCATTAAGGTGTTACAAGCTGAGGAGAAGTACCTTAAAATCTATTCTTGATTTAACAGGGAGCCAGTGCAGAGAAGTTAATACAGGAGTGATATGATCCCTTTTCTTAGTTCTTGTTAATACACGTGCTGCAGCATTCTGAATCAACTGGAGAGGCTTAAGAGATTTACAAGAGCAGCCTGATAACAAATAATTACAGTAATCCAGTCTGGAAGTAACAAACGCATTAACTATTTTTCCTTTTTCTATTATCACTTGATAATCCTGATTTTCGATATAGTCCATAGCTTAAAAAAGGCAGTCCTTGAAGTCTTCTCTATATGAGAATTGAAGGACGTATCCTGGTCGAAGAGAAATCCAAGATTCTTGACGGTGCTGCTGGGTACCAGAGCAATTCCATCCATAGAAACTGTATCACGCGACAGCTGACTTTTTTTTTTTCTTTTTCTGAGTTTAGCATTAGCAAGTTGCAGGTCATCCAAGTCTCTAAGACATTCTTGAAGTCTAACAAGCTGGTCCAACATTAGTGGTCATCGAGAAAGTCACCGAACGCTTGGTGACAATGAGAATTGATGACACCCAAAATCTTATCTTATTGTTATCGTGCAGTCCCATTTGTGATGAATAATAAAATGTTTGTTTGAGCAGGACTCCATAACGTGCATCCTTTTTTCCATAATGTTGCTTTACTTAAAATCCCAATCTGAGCCTGTTAGCGGCAAAAAGAATCACATTGTATGATTTTGAAAAAAATACATTGCAGTTTATTGCATGAGATAAGTATTTGATCACCTCCCAACCTGTAAGAATTCTGGCTCTCACAGACCTGTTAGTTTGTCTTTAGGAAGCCCTCCTGTTCTCCACTCATTACCTGTATTAACTGCACCTGTTTGAACTTGTTATAAAAAGACACCTGTCCACACACTCAATCAAACAGACTCCAACCTCTCCACAAGGGCAAAGACCAGAGAGCTGTGTAAGGACATCAGAGATAAAATGGTAGACCTGCACAAGGCTGGGACGTGCTACAGGACAACAGGCAAGCAGCTTGGTGAGAAGACAACAACTGCAATTAGTGGAACATGTTCAAGATGACGATGCATATCCCTCGGTGTGGGGCTCCATGCAAGATCTCACCTCGTGGGGCATCAATGATCCTGAGGAAGGTGAGGGATCAGCCCAGAACTACACGGCAGGACCTGGTCAAATGAGAGCTGGGACCACAATCTCAAAGAAAACCATCAGTAACACACTACGCCGTCATGGATTAAAATCCTGCAGCGCACACAAGGTCCCCCTGCTCAAGGCAGCGCATCTCCAGGCCCGTCTGAAGTTCGCCAATGGATGGACGGCATCTGGATGATCCAGAGGAGGTATGGGAGAAGGTCATGTGGTCTGATGAGAGGAAAGTAGAGCTTTTTGGTTTAACCTCCACTCGCCCTGTTTGGAGGAAGAAGGACGAGTACAACCCCAAGATCACCGTCCCAACCATGAAGCAAGGAGGTGGAAACATCATTCTTTGGGGATGCTTTTCTGCAGAGGGGACAGGCCGACTGCACCGTATTGAGGGGAGGATGGATGGGACTGTGTATCCTGAGATCTTGGCCAACAACCTCCTTCCCTCAGTAAGAGCGTTGAAGATGGGTCTTCCAGCATGACGACAACCCGAAACACACAGCCGAAGAAGTGGCTGTATGGAGGAAGGGTCCAAAATCCCTGCTGCAGTGTTTGCAAACCTGGTCAAGAACTACAGGAAACATGATGTCTGTAATTGCAAACAAAGGTTTCTGTACTAAATATTAAGTTGGGATTTTCATCAATTTGATCCCTTGGTCAATGACAGAGTAATTGTCTAAGATTATGATGCATGATCTTTTACTGTTAAAATGAGGGTAAATTAAAAATGACAATCATTTTCTTCCACTTAATACATATTTATGTTCCAGAATGGTCGTTCTTTACCTTGGAACCTCTTCTACTAAAGGTCGACAATCTGGAGAGTGTCCCGGTGCAGAAGTCTATATTTGAAGCTCTGCTTGGTTTATAATGCAACATTTCTAGTCACATTCATGGGTTCAGCACAAAAAACAGGTTATGTCAAACATGAGCAGCATCCACTTGACTTCCAGGCAGACAGTGAGGCCAAATGGTTTGCCATCTTTATTATGAAACAATATTGGGACCAGATCAAACAGCTGTTACATGGTGTTGTTTTTTTGGCCACTGCAGTCCCCTTTTCCGTGTCCTAGCCAGCCCTCTCCCAGCTGCCTTCAAGGTGCTTGTTTTTTTTAAAGGACCGCCTCCAGGAGCTGAGCATTCCAGCTAAGTGCAACCTCCTCCGGCTTCTCCCCCTCCACGAGTAGGTCCCTTTGCAGCTGGCCAGCTGACAGTCCGTCTGGTAAAGGGCTCTGTATCTAACGTGGTTACATGTGGGGGGCGGGGTGTTGCCTGATCGCGGGATACATGCGTTGCAGATTCTAATCAACCAAAGGGACTTTTCCCCACAATTACCAATTGTATTTGCATCAGTTGTCAAAATGGAGAAGGCAAAATTATATTAAGAAAAACGTATTGTGATTGGAAACTGAAATTTGGTTCTCTCATTTCCACAATAAAGAATCTTGAGAGCTAAATTTACGGCCTGCCATTGTTTCATTTCTGCTCAGTGTGTTACAAACTGGTGGCATGTCTAAAAGCAGCGTAGGTGAGTACGGCAAACGTTTCAGTTGCCACGCACCCTCCGGGTGCTACCTACAGCTTTTCTTATTTCAGTAACACTAGGCGTCTTTTTTTTTTTGTTTAGGTTTTTTAAGCTTTAAAGATTGACGGTGGGGCAGAAAAAGAAGAAAGTATAAACCGGT